ACAGTGGCAGTTTTGACCTTATTCTGGGGCTGGGGGCCAGAGGGCAGTGAGTGGAGAAAGGCACGGAGGGCAAGAAGGTAAAACTGGGGATCCAGAGCAGTGGTTTCAGGATGGCCCAGATCAGAGTTGCCTCGCATGTGTTAGAAACACAAGCCTACCTGTAGAAGCAGCTCCCTGGGGAAGGACCCAGAAATCAGCATTGTAAAATCTGTGGGTAACTTGTGCGCTGCTGGTGGAGAGGCAAAGGAGTACAACCACCTTGGAGAACTGTTTGGCAGTTTCCTGCTGAGTCCAATGTAAACAGCCTGGCTTAGCCATTCTACTCCTAGGTATTTTCCCAACAGAAATGAAAATACAGGTCCAAACAAAGACAAATGTTTGTAGCAGTTTGATTCACATTTTTCCAGTCAAAAACTAGAAATACCCAGATGTCCATCTACAGATAAATCGTGGTCTTTCCATGCAGTGGAGTACTTTTCTGCCATAAAAACAAACAAACAAAAAAGCAGTATATGATGCACGCAGCAGTATGAATGCATTTCAAAAACATGATGCAGAAAGAAAGGAGCCAGACGCAAGAGAGACCCTGCTATGTGAATTCCACTTGTGAAATTTTAGATCAAACACAGTGAATCTGTCAGTGGTTATATGGGTAGGGTCAGGGATATTGCATCCAAACGGGTGTTCAGGGGGTGTAGGAATGATCTACATCTTGATTGTGAGGGTGGTTGTAGGCAAGCGTTCATTTTTCAAGACTCATCGAACTGTACATGTAAAGTGGATCCGTGAGAGAAAGGAGAGCTCGGGCAACAGAGGGAAGGGAACCCAGGGTTTGCTGTGTCAGTGGGCAGAGGGGAAGGAGTTAGCCGGCCAGAAGGACTTGAAGGTCCTTGGAGACAGGGTGCCGCTTGCAGGCTTAGACAGACAAGGGTGGAATATCTGTGAATCTGAAGGTGAAACCATGGTCCTTTTTAGAGTCGTGAAGGCAAGAGTGGTCGAGTCGGGCACAGTTGGAGGGAGGAGGGGAGGGCGTTCCAGAGGGTTCACGCTGCCCCCTGTGCCACAGGAAGCTGAGTCGTGAGTGGAGAGAAGGGGGCTGTGAGGCCAGGAGTGAGGGTCTGAAACACCAGCTGTGAGGCTCAAACAACCAGGGAGTGGGTAAACGTCCCTCCTGTGACACGGGGCCCAGCTGGCCGCAGACGTGTAGTGGTATCTCGAGAGTGACTGCGGCGTTTTCTTCAGCAGTGCTCAGAGCCTGGGTGGAGGGAATTGGGTTGCTGGGTAGATTCTGGGTGGAGCATTGACAGTCTAGCTACTGGATTATTTGAAGTAATCAACGATGCATATCCATGCAGGGCAGGGAGAAGGAAACGAACAGAAATATTGAGCTCCGCCTATGCGCCAGGCACTGTTGTAGATTTTTGGGATATAGCAAACAAGAAAAGATGAATCCCAGCCCTTACGAAGTTTACAGTGGCTAGAGTTAGACATTAAATAAAATGAATAAAATAAACTATACTATGCTTCAGAGGCGGTAAGTGTCATGGAGAAAAATTAAGCAGGAAAGAGGTAGGGAATCCTGGCAGGTGGGAGGTGGTCAAGGAAGACCTCTCTGAGATGGTGGCATTTGACCTAAGACCTAAGCAGAGGAAACAGCAAATGCAAAGGCCCTGAGGCAGGGGCACGCTTGGCAGTGTTTGAGGAATACAAGGAGGCCAGCACTTCTTTTGCAGATGAAAATATTTAAAGTTTTACCCTCATGAACTTAGGCCAGGGGAAGATGTGCATATCTATTTTGAATCATTTCTGTCTCAAGTTAAAAGGGAGGATTAGATCAGCACAAAACAGGAGCCCCAGCCAGTGTCCCATGATCTCAGCCAGGTTTCTCTGAGTGTCAAGGCTGCACGTTCTCGGCCTGACCCGCTGGGCGGGGGTCAAGTCGGGCCCCGTGGCTGCTCCCAGGGGAGCACCGAGCAGGTTCCTTCCTTCCTGGGTAACCCGGGAAACCGATCACAAATTGCAGCTATTCAGCCATTTTTCCCCTCCTGATATTTTTACCTTTACCTGATATCCTTACTTTCAGATGGAATAACACCTGTTTTTATGCTTGTGAAGTAACCTCTTGTTTTTCCTTTCTGAAAGTAAAACATCTCTTCTCCTTATCAGCCTCCATATAGATAGAGTGGCTCATTTTGTATCAGTGTTTGTTTATGTTCTTATAGGTAGGCCAGGTTTCTTTTCTCATGGCCAAATCTTTTGTGTGTGTGTGTTTTTAAACAAGACCCTTGCCTGATACCAGCTCCATTATTAAATCAAAAACAACCACCTTTTTGTATTGGGCTCTCGTGTGTTTTCAGATGATGCTTTTTGCTTTTATTTTGCTGGCTTTCCCAATTTTTTTTTGTTGGGTTTTTTTTTAAGATTTTATTTATTTATTTTTTAGAGCAGGAAGGGAGGGAGAAAGAGAGAGAGAGAGAAACATCAATGTGCGGCTGCTGGGGGTCATGGCCTGCAACCCAGGCATGTACCCTGACTGGGAATCAAACCTGCGACACTCCAATGTTTTTATCTTTAACCTTTTATATTACGGAAAATTTCAAGCATATGTAGAGAGAACAGTCAAATGACCACCCGTGTTATCACTTCCATCTTCAAACAGTTGTCAATAGGCTGCCTTTTTTTTTTTTTTTCATTTTATCCGTTCCTCCCTACAATTTTTTTTCTCTCATATTTTAAAGCAGATCTCAAATCCAAATGATTTTTTAAGAAAAAGAGGGCGGCCGTTTGCTTGCCTTCTGGGAGAGCTGTCGTAATAGTTGTGCTGTCACGTGGCCTAGAGTTCTGTGGGTGTTTATTCCGGGGACCTTATTTCACCGAGTGCATGGGAGCCCTGAGGTGGCCAGAAGGTGCTCCTGGTGGAGACTGCCTCCTCCTTAGCCTAGAAAAACATGGTTCTCAAACACCAGTGCCCTTGTCCCACCGTGACCCTTTCCTGGCTCCTGCTGATGAACCGTTTTGATGCAAGGCATTTGGGGACCTGAAGCCTCAGTGCTGGTGGCCAGTGAATAAGCTCTAGAAAACCAGGAAAATCTGCACCTGAAGACGAGTCCCTGAGAGTGCACAAGCGCTGTACCTCAAAGATAGGCTGACCAACAGGAACTGAGATCCCATTGGTCGCCTTGTCTTGTTTCTGGTGACTTGCTAGAATGCGGCAGTGTTGTCTTCGTCTGCAACAGACCGAAAAGATGCCCTCTTGACCGCTGTGCTTGCTGTGGGGCCTGGCAGTCTCGCTTTTCCTGGCCGCAGGGCTGCAGTGACCAGGCTGCAGCGGCACCTGGACTGTCTGGCGGGGGGTGGGGGTGGGGGGTGAGTGCTGGGTGCCCTGATTTCCTGTCTCTTGCATCAGTCTGTTTGTGAGCCTGTACCGAGAGGCAATTACTGGGAACGACAAACATATGCTTACTGACTGGAAGTTTTCCTCGGTTCCTAGAATGTTTCTGGTTTAATGAATTGTGTGTGTGCTGCCCGCAGACCACCTGTGGTGTGTGCTTCTGTTGTTGTGAACACCGTATGCCTTCATGGAGGGGCTGGACTTGTAAAGCAAAGTCAACAAAAGATAAGGCTTGAAAGAGCTTTCTTTGTCTGACAGTCCCAACTGACTGGGAGAATTAGCTGCCTGTCACCATCAGCAGAGCGACGGAGCCTGGAACTCTGTGTCCAGAATCATATTGCAGTATTTGCTGTCCTCATCCTGGCTTTGAAGTTGTGGATGGACCGGCTGTACAGCCCATGGGGGTTTTAAATTTTGTTACCTCTCTAGGGGATACTTTTTCATTGCTTTTAGAGAGAGAGGAAGGGGGTGGTAGAGAGAGAGATAAACATCAATGTGAAAGAGATACATTGATCAGCTGCCTTCTCATACACACCCTGACAGGGGATCGAACCCACAACCTTCCGGTCTACAGGACAGTGCACCAGCCAGCTGAGCCACACCATCCAGGGCTACCCATGAGGCTTTTGACCGCTAGAAATACCTCATTACTGTGCCATCTCGTGCCAGTGGGTTTTAGTTCTGCCACAGCACTGCGTTGTCAGTGGCCTCTCACCATCCATCCACCCCAAGGGGTCAGGTGTGTCCTCTGGATTTGTGCTCAGGAGAATGTGGGGAAGGAAGAATCCTGCCATTCTGACAACTGCAAATATAACATTGACTTTGAGAGAAAACTTTTTCCCCCAATTTAAAAAGTAACGACTACTTTTGCAGAAATTTGGGGAAATAGAGGAAAGTTGGGGGAAGTCATTTACATTTCCAACAGAGATAACTTACAATTAGCATTCTTTGACTCTGTGTATAGTTTTCTATGTGCTTTGAAGATTTTCCCCTTAGCTGCACTAATAGTCTATGTATAATGTTATCTTTTCTCCTAAACATAATAGTCTAAAAAATTGTACATGTTTTAAAATTTTCTAAGTCCTTTTAGCAGCCCTGATTTTCTTCCAGGTGGACATTGCATAGTTTAACCATGTTCCTGAGCAGTTAGGTCATTTGTAATGCTACATGAGCATCTTTGTACAGAAAACATTTTCTAGGTGGTGTCATTCTTCTGCTAGACTTTACGGAGTCCGGGGAATGAACACTTGGAGGCTCTAAGATTGCCCCACTGCTGCCCCCTAAGGGCGGAAGTGTCAGGGAGTGCCTCTGTGACCCGCTGTCCACCGTGGGTCGTGACTGTTCCTCCTGCCCCGTCTGTTCCCCAGTGTCTGCAGGTTTCCCGACAGCAGTCCCATGTTCCTGTCAGTTCTCACTCGTCTCAGTGACAACCGTAAGAGCTCAGCTCTGCATCTTTGTGTGCGTGTTTTCTGAAGTGCCTTCACGCACGTTATCTTGTGTGGGTCAATTTAAGTTATCGGAACAGCTTGGGAATGGGTCCTGGGAACTCTCTAGGAATCTTGATGTTTTGGAGTCTGTCTGACGATGCCTTTGTTGTTCTTTCACGCAGATCCAGTTCTGCAGGTCCCAACCCACGTGGAAGAGTAAGTTTTCCTGTTTGCTTCAGCACTTCCCTTGAATCCGTTTTCTGAATTATTCAGTGTTTATGAGGCTGGTTGCTGGGAGTACGCAGTCATAAGTTTAAGGTAGAATGGGAATGATGGAGACACAGGAAGTCTTGCAGGGGCCGTGACGGAAGTCTGTGTCGGGGGAGGGCAGTCAGTCCTTTGGGGGGAGTCGGCGACATCAGGGGGGAGGGAGGCAGTGGTATTAAAAGGCTTATTTGAGATGGAACCTAAGTTGAGTTTTTAACTTAAGCTTCCAAAGGAAGGCCTAAGGGTTTAGATCTCTCTCTCTCTGCGGTGTTAACCCCAGAGAACAAACACGAACCTGACCTGCTTCTGGGGTGTGTGCGCTGGAGTGAACGCTGGGTGGCCCCTGTAAGAGCCTCCAAAGACGGTCCATCCCGAGTAGAGGAAAGACTCGTCCGGCGGTTTCTGAGAGACCAGGTGTAGTCTTGAGCGGGCTAACTTGACCGAAGACCACCTCACACCTGCCTCAGGGGAAGCTCCCGGCTAAGAGACCTTTGTCCGTGTCCTTGGCAGGTTCTTTCGGATGGCAAGCTTTCAAAGTCTGCTTTTATTGCCTGCAGTTTAAAAATAAATGTTTGTTGAACGCTAAAGGTGGATTAGTTTACCTGTTTATGCACCGTGCCATGCTAGTGAGCACTAATTGTTGGCGTTCTGCACACAACTGACTCGGAAACTGAGAAGCAGTTTGCCGGGTTCCCGTCACCCATCTGGTCCTCGTCCAGAGTGCGTCGACCCGGTGGTGTGCTCTTCTTCGATCGATGCTGTGCGGTTTTTCTTGGGCAGGTTTTTCTACTCAAGTACAGCGCACACCCACATAGGGATGTTCTGTTTGCACTAGGGTGAAAAAGCAGTGGGTGGAATCGGCTCATATACACCGCCCCACCCCCCCTCCCCCTCCCCCTCCCCCCAGTCCTGGCTACGACAGTTTGTTCTGCGCCCCGGGCTGTGCCTTCTCGCTCATACTCACTGCTTCACTTCCAGGCCCGCCTTCCTCCCAGACCCCAACGACGGCAGCCTCTACACCCTCGGGGGCAAGAACAATGAAGGCCTGACGGTGAGTGTGCCCCGGAGGTCCTGGACCAGCGACCCTCACATTCTGCACACTGAGATCACTCGAGAACTTAAAAGACACTTTGGGGGGGATTCTGATTCAGGCGGTCTGGAGTGGGGCCTGGGGATCGGTATCCTTTCACGGTGTCTGAGCTGAGCTTTTAAATGGCAGCCAGAGCTCAGAAACACTGATCGAGACCAGCAGGTTCCAGTGGCCCAGCCAACACCCCGGACAGGCATAATACTCCCCTCAGCGGCAGGGTGGCTCACGCTGGTGATTCTCAAACTGGTGCTGGTGGCGGCAGCGGGGAGGTGTAGTTTGAAAAGCTGTCCGTCCCCCTCAGACGCCCCATGTACGGGCATGATATAATCTCACTCCATTGGAGAACCTGGATGGTTCCCGCCTTGGCTCCACATTGTAATAACCTGGAGCGCTCTAAAGAAATACCGGGTCTAGGCACCAGTTTCAAAAGTCTCCATTTAGTCAACGTAGGCGTCAGGATTTTTAAAAACTCCCCAGATGAGAGAATGTGGAAACAGGCCCCACACACGAGCACCTGATTTGCGGCAAAGGCGACACTGCAGTGCGGTGGGGAACGCTGGCCTTGTCAGTGAACGCCCCGGGCCTGCAGGGAGATCCGGGAGGGAGAAAGTCTGGACTCTCGCCTCCCACCAGACCCACGGAGCCCCGTCCCAGAGGGGCTGCACGTCTGAACGCGAGACGTGAAGCATGGCTTTGAGAAAAAAGTAGCAGAACGTCTTCGTGACCTTCGAGTAGGTTAAGATTTCATAATTAGGACACAAAAAACCCAAACCAAAACAAAAACAGCCCACGCCAACCATAAGGGACAAAATCAATATATTGAGTCATATTCAAATTGGGAAGTTTTTGTCTCCAGGAGACACGGGAGGCAGGCTGCAATGTGCTCCCAACACCGTGTCCCGCGAAGCCCTCACAGGCCGGGCATGCAGGGTGGGGCACCGGCAGCTTCGTAGTCGCTCGAATGGAAAACAACGCAGTTGTTAATAAATAAGAATACAAGAATAAACTGTGTTCCGCCTGCTCACAACTATAAACCTACTTTGGCCCCACCCTGTACAAACAACTCTTATGGATTATTTTTAAAAGACAGACAACCCAGTAGGAAAATGGAAAGAGTGGATATCCACGTGGTCAATAAACTTATGAAAAGGAGCTCGGCTTCATCCGTCACTAGGGACAGGTAAATAAGAACCACAGTGTCCTACTCCTACCCACTCGCTAGAGTGACTAGTGAGAAAAACGGTGAAGGAAAACAGGTATGAGGAGGAGGCTCGGAGCAGGCAGAACTCCGCACGCTGCGGTGGAAGTGCGGGTGGGTGCCACCAGGTTGGCGAAGTCTGTGGCAGCCCGGTGACCCCGCTGCAAGGCATGCTCACCAAAAGACAGGCACCCACGTGTCCTGCGGCACTATTTATAATAACCACGAAGTGAAAACTACCCAAACAAGTGGCATCAGTGGTCGACAGGATAAATGAATTACAGAACTCTGTACAGTTTAATTGTCTACACTAGTGAGAATAGTCTGCGACACAGATGAATCTTGCCAAAATGAGTTGGACAAAAATGACAAGCAAGTCTACACAGTGAATGACTCATTTCTACAAAAGCTCAAAGATAGGAAAAACTAGTCGATGATGTTTTGAAGTTGGGATACTGGGTGTCACCATTGGAAGAGAGGGCAAGAAGGGGCTCTCGGAGCGCTGGCAAGGTCCCGTTTCGTCATCTGGGTGCTGGTTACATGGGTGCGCTCACATTGCAAAATATAACCGAGCTGTACACTTCCATGAGCTTTCTGTGTGTGAGTTCTGCTTCTGTGGAAGGTTTAAACAGCCTCTGATGTGCAGCCAAGGTTGAGGACCACTGGTCTAGACTGTTACTGGCTTGGGAGCTCTAATTTGGGTGTTTTAAAGTTATTTGATGAATACCTGTGGCTGAAACAGGGGAGAAGGGCAAGTCTTGTGTAGAGGTGTGTGCATTTCACCGTCAATATTTCTCCCCACGCCACCAGAACCTCCATTTCTGAAGCACTCTGTTAGCCAGACACTGGGCTGTTGGTGTTGCCCCGTGTTAGAGGGGCGGGCACTGCGCCTGCGGAGGTGAAGGAACACGCCCAAGGCCACAGCTTCGAGCATTGCACTTGGGGCTTGAAAAGCTCTGTAACTTCCCAAGGGTGCTCTGACCAGCACCCCATGTGCCTTCCAGCGCTGCGGTTTGGCAGCTCCGGGCACAGGGTGTTTCCAGCCCGAGCCCTGAACCCGGAGGCTCCGCAGATGCCACCAGGACTCCAGGCTGGAAGCCTAGGGGTGACTTTCTGATTCTCAGAAACGTCTGGCAGAGGCCCAGTCATTACGCCTTCTCTGGGGCATTTTTTTGCTTTTCTAAGGCTCAGCTTAAATGTTGGGGTGATGGGAAAGTCCAAATGATTAATTATTTCAAGTTCTGTTGATTGAAACAAGGGAGAAATCTTCTCTTTTGTGGAGAAAAAAAATCAGTGGAGTAGCCACAGGTATCTATAGAACAGTTTCAAAAACACAGAATGTTCCAAAAATAACTTCTACCGAAACAAACCTTCACGAACAGGCCTCGTCAGATGTCAGCTGTGGGCTCAGAAGAATCGGTTTTATGAAATGCACTCGAAACACGTGGACCCCTTTGAGTTTCTTTCCCCGGCATCTACCATAACTTCCTTTTAATACCAAAGGTTCGATTTTTTTGTTTTTCAGTAGAGAATTATTTACTGAAGAAAACATCAAGACTACTTCTCCACCTCAGACTCCTAGGTTGCCCACATAAGGATGACTTCTCCTTTGTCTCGAAGCTTCAGCTGGGCTCCTCCGCTGCTCCTGTCAGGGCTAACGTCAGCTCTTGCTCTCACCCGGAAAAGCATTGATATTCCGCTCAGTCTAGCTGGCTCTGGGTCGGTTTTCCAAGACTGGAGAATTCTTCCCCGCCCCCATTAGAATTTCAGAGATTGTGTAACTGTCCATATTTGTGTAAGTCTTTTCAGAAAAGGTTTGTGTCATCTGCAGAAGTGCTCTGGAAAAGAGACCTGGAGGGGCCTGTGGAGTAGAAACAAGCTAGTGTTTGCTGTGCCGGGGCCCTGGGGGCCAAGGACCAGTCCCAAATGGGCCTGGAAGCCTGGGGCACCCCTTCTGCTTGGTTTCCAGTTAGGAAAACTCCCGTCTCCCATCAACAGTGCTTCCCTCTTTTTTGCAGAATTGGGTAACAGAAACGGATTGTGCCGTAAAGTTGTAGAAATTGCATAAGACTTGGTTAACTTATTTTACTTTTGTTTTTTTTTTGTTTTGTTTTGTTTTGTTTTAAAGAAACTTCCCTTTACCATCCCGGAGTTGGTTCAGGCATCCCCATGCAGAAGTTCGGATGGGATTCTCTACATGGGTAAGAGCTCCTGTTTTCCGCCCTGTAACTGGGAGCTCTTTGGAAACGAGCCCCAGAGTCTGGGGAAGTGGCGTCTCTGAGACAGAGGTGTGCAGTCCCTCCCCACCGGCCCTTCTGGGAAAGATCTTTCTTGCCTCGGTTGGGCTTTTTCACGCCAGGATCAACTGAACAGTTAAGAAAGGGTTCCCCCCACTTGGGACCAGGCTTGACACCATTAGTATGGTTACTCATTTAACAAGCTTTCAGCTGCTGTGTTGACCTACCCCTGCGATTTAAAGATTGCAACATACCCAGGAGAAATTGGATGAAACTTTAAGTGAACACAATAGTCTGTGCCAAGAAAGGGAAGCCAGGCTCTTGCCTATTAATTATCGGGCTTTCTTAGTATTTCCTGCTATCAGAATATTGGGTAAAACCTGCACTTAACATCTTGCCGAGATAAGCTGCCTTCATACCTGCAGGGGTCACATCTTTCAAAGCATCAGATCACCTGCTTTCCTTTTACCGTGTTGCTGCCAAAATGTCAATAAAAATGCATTTGTAACACAAAGGAGAGCTATATTTATGTTGAAATCGTAGTAGTAATAATATCCTGTGTTTATACACCAGTTTCTGGAGGAACTGAAAGTGCTTACTGCCTGTTCATGCCTCGGGAGCTGTGTGTGTATTTCTGGGCCTCAAGTGCAGGCCGAACCTTAAGTTTTTGTAGGGACCCTGGGCTCTGACTTCCTTCCACACCTTCAGAATGACCTCCTTCCCCGGCACCCCCCACCCTCCACAGCCTCGGGAATCGGAGGAAGTGCTCAGCCCGGGCTTGCTCGCCTCTGCCCCAGGCCCCTCTGAGCACCTTCTGACCATCCGAGTCACTGTTTTCTATACGGTCTTCCAGCTTTTCCCAGTGAGTTACCGCGTATGGTGCATGTAGGGCATTGTGAGCCCATCGTCTTTGTGTGGTGCCCTCTTAAGTGAGTTCATGGCGCATATTCGAGTGTGGCAGTTGCCCAATCCATCCATTAAAGTGGTTAGGTGGGTTATGGAGACTGTAACCGTCCTCAAAGTAACCAGAGAGGTGCCATGCCAGATGGACTGGGGTCGTGGTCACAGCCATTTGGTGCTGTTTTCACGTATGTTCAGATTTTTTGCTGTTAAGATTTGCGGAGAAGAGAGAGTTGCAATCCATGGACAAGTGTCGCACACGTGGGCTTGGCACGTGTTCTACGTCCATCAGAGCGGAGTGTGGCTTTGGCACGTTCGAGTGCCCTGTGCCCTTCCTGGCATCCCAGTACTCCGCTTCTAAGGATCTCTTGACATAGGAAACCTGGCCAATAAGTTAGGAAGATCCGAGTGACCAGAGGCCACGCCTCATGAAGCGGAAATGGCGCACATCATGGTGAGCGTGTGGGCCTGCAGGTGGGAGCCCCTGCTACGGACTCACCACTCCCATGATGCTCTGGTGTACATGCTGTAGATGCGCAGCTCTGAGTTTTCCCAAGTGTTGTTCGGTTGTGCCATCTGCCTGTTCATACCTCTCATCAGCCGACCACGGCGAGAGGTATAGCCTGTGGCCAGGGGAATAACTTACTTACTGTCTGGGGAGGGGTTGGGGGGCTGAGAAAACTTTGGCCTCCTTAGCACCAGGTTGCAACCAACTCCACTGCCCAGTCACGGGCACCAGCTAATTGGCGTTATAAACAATAACTGTAGATCCTCTTTGGAAATGAGCTCATTAGTAGGGATGTTGAGATATATGCATGAGTGTTACCAGAGAGATGACCCCTGGGGACATTTCTATGTTTATGTAGATCTTAGTCGATGGGACAAGAATTGCCCTTTACCGGCCAGACTTGTAATATTTAAGGCCACTAATCAAAGCAATGCATTCTAGGAGTTATTAGGTTTGGGGAAATTTCCATACATGATTAGGTTATTAAGTTATTATTAGACCCGGTGGCCCAGGAAACCTTTATTACCTCCACATTACCATTTCCCTTGTCACCCTCGGAGCAGGGTGATGCCTGCGACATTGTGAGAGTTTCAGGCCGGACCCTCAGCACAGAGGACGTCTCAGGCTGCTGGTTTGGCAGTGATACTCTTTCCATACAGGACGGGGGTAAACACGCTGTGTCCTGGTGACATTTCAGGTAAAAAGCAGGACATCTGGTACGTCATCGACCTGCTGACCGGAGAGAAGCAGCAGACTTTGTCGTCGGCCTTCGCAGATAGCCTCTGCCCTTCGACCTCTCTTCTGTATCTTGGGCGAACAGGTAGGAAGGAACCTTTTGTCGTGTACAAACCTGCCTGTTTTCAGAAAGGACGAGAAGTAGCCTCCCCCCGGGTCTCTGTCTCTGGGCTTCATTCTCAAGACGGTGGCCAGAGCTGGTTTCTCCAACACAGATTTTACCCCATGGTCCCCCTTCCTAAGACCCACCGTGGCTCCCCACTGCCTGGGGTTGCAGCCCCCACTACACGCGGCCCGAGAAACCCCGGGAACGCGGCGGCTGCCTGTCCCGCCTCCTCCCTCGCTGCGTCTCCCTCACGTCGACCTTCCCCAGTCCAGATGACCCGCCTGCAGCTCTACACGCAGTGCCATTTTAGAAACTTGGGATAGGGGTCCCTCCCTACCAGGCATGCAGGTTTTTGCCTGTCTGGCCAGTGTCCTCTCTTCACATCATTGTTCGAAAGTCACCCTCTCCCATGAAGCGTGTTCGCACCTCAACTCCGTCCCTGCCCAGGACAGCAGCCGTTCCCCCGCCCCCCGGGACACATGCCGTGTGGGCCCATCACAGTGGCCGTCCCACCGCCTGTCACCAGCCCTTAGAGGTGTCAGCAGCACCCTTCCCACCACACCGTATTCTGTCACCTTTCTTTTCAGCCTCGTCTCCTTGTTTTTTTTTATCTTCTATTTTTAGATTTTTTTTCTTGTTCAGTTACAGTTGTCCCCATTTTCCCCCCATTATTCTCCCTGTCCTGCCAATTCCTCCCTCATCTTCTTAGTACTTGTCACTGTGTGTTTCGAAATTGTGTATGCTGATTTCCTGCCTCCCCCGCTGCACCAGCGGCTTCCCGAGGGCAGCACGTGGTTTTGCTCACCTGCCGTGTCTAGGGCCATTTTTTACACTGAGAATCCTTTTCAGCTGGAATCTCAGTCCTGAATCCTCTCTATTTAGCCTGAAAATGGAGTTATTTCTTCTTTGGCTTATCTATCCTGCATTTGATCATGTGCAGTTAAGAGAAACCATTCAGCACTTGTCACTTTCTGCCTGGAAATCTCTTTAGCCAGATCCACTAGTTCATCAATACTTTCTTTGTATTTCCTAAGTCATCGCCAGCAGTCGTCTTACCAGTTGTGTCCCCGCTGCGTAACCTGGGCCACCCCTTTCCAGCTTCCAGTAGTGGTTTCTTGCTGCTCTTTCAGTCTCCACGTCAACCTTTCAGCCGCCGTCTGCTGCCTGGTCCCAGTTGGTAGCACAGGTTTTAGGTGTTTGTCATGGCACCTGCCCACTTTTAGGCACCAGTTTCTGATACCATCTCTCTATTGCTATGTAGTAAACGACCCCCGTGACAGCACTCATGGTTCTGCGAGTCATGAGTTCAAGGGCACAACAAGGGTTCACTCATGTGTCTGGGACCTCAGTTTTCCACGTGGCCTTTTCTCTTTCCACGTGGATGGACTGGACGTTTTCCACAGGCAGTTTAGGGAGGATTTGTCTGTTGTAATTTAGATACGCTCAGCACCGCAGTAGGTGCCGTGCCCCCCCGCCCTGGGTAACAGGCTGTGTGTGTTCTCCAGAGTACACCATCACCATGTACGACACCAAGAGCCGAGAGCTCCGGTGGAACGCCACCTACTTCGACTACGCAGCCTCGCTGCCCGAGGACGACGTGGACTACAGTGAGTGCGCGGGGCCCGCGGGGCCGGGTGGCACTTGGGATCTGTGAGGGGACGGTCGCTCCAGAAGAAAGGCTGGATTGCCTTTTGAGACACCCTTGGGCCCCAGGTTCTGGGCTTTCCATGGGCTTTCAGTAAACCCTTCGACAGGCAGTGTTGCAGGTAGGGTCCCGGTGAGGACTGCGGAGGGAGGCCCAAGTCCGATGGCGGCCAGTCTCGCCTGGGAGGAGGGAGGATGCACTGCGCCGAGTCCCTCTGTGTCGCAGGAGGAGCCTGCCGGACGCCCAGGGGAAGCCGAATTAAACATCCAGTTGTGACATTAACAACTCCGCCTAAATGTGGCTCGTCCTCAACTTATTTCTCTAGTAAACATTCCCCCGACTCAAATGGAAGCCAAAAACCAATTTTTCCGACTTAACACTGGTATCTGGAAGTCGGACAGAAATCCCCCCCTGTGGTCGGATGTGTCAGCTCCGACTTTGAGCTCCATCGATGGGTTTGACGTCATTGCCGTCAGATGCATCTCCCTGGGCTCCCTTCTCCTCACTGTCTTCTCTCACTCGGCGAATGGAATGTAAAGAGCATCACCAAGTAAATCGCCTTTCAGAGAGTGATCCTGTCTTAGGTTTGTCACCCAGGCAGCTGTCAGTGTGTCAATGTTGTGAGCCTGAGCAAGGTCACTGGGAACGGGGGAGGTCTGAGAACGCTCCAGAAGTCTCGTCGCCTCTAGCGGGGTGACTGCAACTTGCCAGGAAACTGGAGGATGTGGTTGCAAGATGGGGTGAGATGCGACATGGCTTTGTCTGATCTGTGCAGAGATGTCCCACTTCGTGTCCAATGGCGATGGGCTGGTGGTGACTGTGGACAGCGAGTCTGGTGACGTCCTGTGGATCCAGAACTATGCGTCCCCCGTGGTGGCCTTTTACGTCTGGCAGCGGGAGGGCCTGCGGAAGGTGGTGCACGTCAACGTGGCAGTGGAGACCCTGCGCTACCTGACCTTCATGTCTGGGGAGGTGGGGCGCATCACCAAGTGGAAGTACCCCTTCCCCAAGGAGACGGAGGCCAAGAGCAAGCTGACGTGAGTCAGGGAGCTCGGGGTGGAAGAGGGCCGCTGGACCCCGACCCTCAGGTCCTACTGCAGCGCGGCACACCATACACGGGGGGCCAGGGCTCAGCAAACGTCCCTGAAGTCAAGAGGAATGTAAAGAGCCAAGACTGGCCCATTCAGAAACCCAAGAATGTAAGAACCAGGGACTCCTTTAGATGCTTCAGAATTCTTGAATATTAAATAAATTAAAGCGATGGGTGGGGATAGGAAAGAGATAGCCAGTATTCACAGTACAGTTTGGATATGTCTCAGGTGGGAATATAAGAGATGCATTTATTTTTCAACTTTGTGTATTTTCTAAATTTTCACTGTAAGTTATATTCATTTTTAAAAATCAGGAAACCGGTGTTACGACATGTGTATCTAAGACTCAGTGGGCTTGCGCTCTCCATTCCCACCTATTCATAGGTCGCGCAGTCTTGCTGGGCCTCAGTTTCCCGCTTTAGAGTGCTGTTGGAGAAGATCAAATAGGGGAACATGCATGAATGCATTCTCTAAATTACACACCACCGTTCAAATGCACGGTGTGTGTGGAGAGAGGTTTCCAGAATTGAGTAGATGACCAGCCTCCAACTGGCTGCTGACAGCAGTAACCACAGGGTCTGACACCACAGACAAGGCCAAACCACACCCCCCCTTCCTGGCCCAGGCAGGACCAGGCCATGCTGCTGTGGACTGGAAGTCTCACCCAGTTTGGAATTTTTTGTACAGCCCTAGGCTTTAGGCATTCAGATGAGAGCAGTTGGCTGTTTCTCAGGGGTCCTGTAGACTCTCTAGACTTCTTACGAATCACGAGACAGGGTGCTGGTGATTCAGGTGTCAGCTCAGTTGTCAGCACAGTTGTCAGCACGTGCCGGTCTGGGCCATCCTAGAGGCTTTGCAGTGATTGCAAGCATTTGGTCGCTCGCACATGGTCATTGCACGTGGGCCTTTCTGCAGCCCGTGGTGGGGATGGCCAAGTGCAGCCCTGCCATGTGCAAATGAGGAAACCAAGGCTGTGCATGACAGCTGGGGCCTGCAGCCCAGTTCTCTCTGCTGTCAAGGCAGAACTCTTCCCTTCACACCCCAGAGTGCTTAGGAGCTTATCGGGGTGTTCTTCTGGTTGGTATTTGGGGCTGTGATTCTTCTCTCCCAAAAGCCTAGAATTTAAAGGGCTGTGAGACGCATGCATCTGTTTTTCTCCTAGGCCCACCCTATATGTTGGGAAATACTCGACTAGCCTCTACGCCTCCCCCTCAATGGTCCACGAGGGTGTTGCCGTTGTGGTAAGTCCTCTGCCGGGGGTAGGGAGGCTCACAGATGCTGCCTCCTAACTGCTCCTGTTCCGTTTTCCAAAAGAATGACTTTGACTCATAGATAAACATGTTGTTGGTTAAGAATGCAAGACATAGATCTTAGATCCTCAAAAACAATTCCTACACACACCTCCTTCTACTTTCATGGAATGCTGCATGAAAAGATCAGCTCTGGCCACACCCATTTGCTTTTGTGTTCCAGTGTAAACCGCCCAGGCTGGTGTTCCCAGTCCTCCTGGATCCAGTCCCACGATGCCCTTCCACCACACTGCTAGCGTCCAACCAAGTGCCTCTTCTTGCTCATTTCAGAACTTCCTTGTTCATCTCCCTTAGCCTTCCTTCAGGCTGCGCCTCGTGCTTCCAGCCCTCTGCCTCCTTCCTCTTCCCTACCTAGATCCTTTTCATCCTTTTGTGGCCTCTCCAGGCCTCCTTGGCTCTTGCCAGCATGCCTCTAATGCACCATCTCTGGACGTCTGAAGCCTTATCATCTTGGCTCCTCATTTGGTCCTTAACAGCGTTTGAGCTGTTTGGTTGGCATCTCTTGTCTTCCCAGTGAGTCGAGTTGGTCAGCTACTTCTGTGAATAGGGCAGCACCTGCATCAGTTGAGGTCAGCAGTGTCCGAGTGAGCAGTGGGCTCGTGGCTGGAGCTCACCGCCCCCTGGTCAGGTGCACTGACTGTGGATTGGAAGATGCCCTGGCATTCCCCTTCCCTTACCCTGCTTCTCATGGTAGCCACTTGGAAATACACACACACACACTGTCTCTCTCTCTCTCTCTCTCTCTCTCTCTCTCTCTCTCTCTCTCTCACATACTTCCTTAATCTGCGTATTCTTTCAGACAAAAGGATTTGAGAAGCAGTCCATGTTAAAGACCTCAGCACAGCATTGTCACGTCTTGAGTGAGGCGCCTCTCCTGCCTAGTCTTGCAGCCTTTGTGCCTTGCTCTGACTGTCCTGGACCAGCCCCACCTAGAAGTAGGACAGTCCCTTGGGTGCTTAGGACAGTCACAGGGATGTTCTGCTCACCTGCAAGGGCTGCCCGAAGGCCTCACTGCAGTTCTGTCTCCACAGCCCCGAGGCAGCACTCTTCCTTTGCTGGAAGGTCCCCAGACCGACGGTGTCACCATTGGGGACAAAGGGGAGTGTGTGATCACACCCAGCACGGACCTGAAGTTTAACCCTGGGCTCAAAGGAAAGAACAAGCTCAACTACTTGAGGAACTACTGGCTTCTGATCGGTGAGTGGGTTTCCTCTTTGCGTCTGGTCACGTGCTGCCTCCTGGTGGGCAAAGCTGGCCTTGCCAGTGACGGTTAACTGCGTTGTGCTCAGTTCACGTCCTAGTTGGTCTTTCAGACCTTGAATGTTTTTACCCCCAAGGGAAATAAATACACAGGAAGTTGTGTTGCCAGGTCAGTTGCTCAGGTCAACTAATGTTCCAAAACTCAGCTACTGAGTACAGTCGTGTGTTGCTTAACGATGGGGACACAGGCTGAGAAGTGCATCAGTAGCGATTTTGTCATTTTGCAAACCCCCCAGGGTGCACTCACACACGCCCAGATGCTGCGGCCTCTCACACGACCAGGCCCTGTGGTGCAGCCCGTTGCTCCCAGGCCGCAAGCCTGCGCAGCACGTCACTGCGCAAAACACACGAGGTTAAATCCAGCACGAGAGAACATGAAGCAACAAGAGACACAGTAAACACGAGACGCTACCGGCATAGCAGGGCACCCCGCTCTATGGCAAACGTCTTTGTTGTGAGTGCAAAGAGAGTGCTCTAAGATGATAATAAAAAGCACAGTGTGGTAAATATATAAATCGGTAACATGGACGTCTATTATCAAGTATTATGTACGGAACGTAATCGTACGTGCTACACACTTATACGGCCGGCAGTGCAGTAGGTTTGTTGACCCGGCGCCACCGCAGACTCTGCGTCCTGTGTTGCGCTAGGACATGATGGTGGTGTCGCTGTGTTGCTGGGTTGCTGGGTGATAGAGATTCTTCAGCTCTGTTACACTCCAGTAGGACCATCGTCGTGCGTGCGGTCCATCGATGACCAAAATGCCGTCCCACGGCACAGGACTGTGATGTAGACTCCGTGTATTTATCTGACACAGCGCCTGTAGGTTGTGTCCCGGGCATTGGCACTGAGCCCTTCAGGATGCATTTCCTTGTTTTTCTGCGTTACCGTGTGAAGTGATGTCCCTTGTTACTTCCATTTATAGTTAAGGAGACTGGAGTGATTTCTGTGGAAGAATTCACTTGGAGTTGGTGTCGGTGTGGGAGGGGGGAGGAGGAGGAGAGCGTTGAAGACCAGTAGGAGTGGAGGGTGGTGAAGAGTGAGACAGAGGTTGGACCAGGGTCAGGGAACCACAGCAGAAATCCTGTGTGTGTGTGTGTGGCGGGGTGGGGGTTGTGGGGGGGGCCTTTCCTTCTCTTCTGCTTTTGCTGCTGTCTCTAATGTCCCTGGGGTTGGAATGGGAGCCCTGTCAGCCAGCGAGATAAGAAAGTGAGATGACACCCAAAGGCAGTGAGTGCGACCAATGAAGGCGGAGGTGAGAGGGATGAGTCTCTGGCAAGTGTCCCAACTACTCACAGCAGGACAGAGGTTTCCTGAGTCTGTTTTGCTCGTCCTGTGCCCCCACCCCAACACTGCTGCCTCCCAGCCCCAGAGGTTCTGAGAGGTGGGGATGCAGCCCCAGGGGGCGGGGTGGGCAGGAGGGAAGTGGGGGTCCCAGAGTGCACAGGGGCTATTGAGGTTTCTCCTCGTCATTTTACCTCTTGCTACGCTCCATGCCCTGGTCCCTGGGCAGGGAGAGGGCAGAGCTGGGTGCGGGGAAGGTGGTGTGCAGCAGCTGGGCAGAGGCGGGGCCTTGGGGTTTGGATCTGCCTGGCGCCAGGGCTGGGCGTGGCAGAGAGGGAGGGAGGGTGTACTGGAGCCCTGATCATTCCCGGGTAGCATGTTCTCCTGTGTTCGCCCTGAGTCCTTACAGCCATTTTCTTCTAGTTGTTATTTTTTTAATCAAATAATGGACAAAGGAGATGACAAAATAATTCCACTTTTTTTTTTAACAGAAGTAGTTTGGAAAACATGTGAATGGGCCCACAGTAAGGAAAAAAATGACAGGGCTACTTAGTGTTATGTGCCAATTAAGCGGGACGGAGACTGCCTGCTAATGGTCAAGAAGTGAAATAAACTATTGGCCACTAAGGAAAGGTGTGTGTAAAACTACCGGATGACAAGAAATGGAAAATAAATTGTCCTGGCTTAGTTGCAAAGTGATATCCTTTTAAAATGGAAAAGAAGTTGCCCAACTAAGAAAACTGAGAAACCCAACAAAGTATAGAGTAATTAGGAAAGCATCCTGTAGTTCTGAAGGCTGTTTTGAGGAACTCCAAAGCCTAGCCATTTCTTTTTTAAGATTTTATGTATTTACTTTTAGAGAGAGGGAAAGGGAGGGAGAACGAGAAGGAGAGAAACATCAATGTGTGAGAGAGACATCAATCGGTTGCGTCTCACACGCCCCCTGCTGGGGACCTGGCCCACAACCCAGGCATGTGCCCTGAGTAGGAATCGAACCAGACATCTTTTGGTTCACAGACAGGTGCTCAATCCACGGAGCCACACCAGCCAGGGCCAAAGCCTAGCCATTTTTAAGTAAGGCCACGAAACTACTTCCTAGTCTTTGTGTAGACTGGCGCCACAGGTCAAAGGCTATGCTCTCTCATGTTGAACTGTATATGTTCTTTGATGTGTTTTTATAGAAGAAATTAAGGATATCCTCACATCACATTGACCTTGAAAATAAAATGAGTCACTCAGCTTGAGTGACACAGTCTGTGGGTTGCCCCAGGGCAGCGGCCTTAACCTGGGGTGCTCTGTTTCACCTGGGAGCTTTATCAGTTAGGCACTAGAGGTCCCTGGGGATCCCAGTTCCATAGGTCCAGGGCAGGATCTGTGCTTTTGCTCTTGAATCTGGACATAATTGATGACGATAGGTAAATCACTAAACCCAGGGACTGTTGGCGTAAAACTATTTCAGGACCTTATGATTATGTCTGCAGCATAGTTGCTTCAGAATGTGAAGCCTGATGTTACTAAAGGCCCAGCTGTGGGCCTTCATGAGAAGAACTGTTTATGAGAAGAACTACCAGGGGAAGAGGAATTTGGGCTGATCACTTCCATGGCAGTCTGTCGGTGGGTGCCCGATCAGAGGGGCACTGGGGGTGGAGGCAGGCAGGACACGGCAGCCCACGGTGACCTGTGGAAGGCACAACTTGATTTCTGTTGGAGTGGAGGTCTTCTGTTAGCATCAGAGGTCCCCGGAGACACTCACGCTCAGGTCCCTGGGCCCCACCAGCGAGTCTGAGTCAGAGGTCCGAAGCTCCCCAGCCAAGCATGTCTCAGAGTTCTTTGGTCAACGAGACCAAACTGGTGGTGGTTCAGAACAGAATTAGGCTTCCCTTAGAGACCAGTGCTGTGTTGTCATGGAGAACTGACCTAAGATAGGGAACTAAAGAGGGTTTTTCCCGATCAAGAAATGTATGTAGCTCAGGCTAGCTCTTGTTTGTTTGTATCTTGGCAGTCTGTGCTAACCCTTTGATGGCTTTGGGAGGACAGCAGGAAGACCGCAGTGAGATCTGACCTCAGGGACAGAACAGACAGGAATGCATGTGAGGGTGCCCACAGCCCAGTGACGGAGATGGACTAACTCTTTTGGGTGGCTCATGGAGTCATTTAACTTTCAAGCTAAACAGATTATCGAGCCATGTCAAATCCCAGTTTCTTATTTTATTCATCCATGTCTCTCTTTTGGTCATTTGCACACAGCAGGTGCTCAATAAATATGTAGCGAATGCTAGGCAGTCATGAAGTAGTGTGTGGAGAACCGTGAATGAATGCTGAGAGAACTGTGACCCCCGTCCTTCTGGTAAAGGAGTCCTGTCTCGCTCGCATGAATCACTCACTGCTTCCGGGATGGAAGCTCACATTTAGATGGCGGGGAGCGAGCTCCCCCTGAGCAACTTAAAACCCAGATGGGAAGCTGACACTCTTCACGGAGTGACACTAACAAGGGTAAGGGATGAGGGGATAACTCGAACTCGTAACAAAGCTGCATAACACGCCAGCAGTGGACACCCCGAGCTGGGAATTCTGCACACAAGTCCTGCTCTGGAACAAATCCTCAGCATCCCGATTCCTCCCCCGACAAGACTTCTCGCTCCTCACTAGGAGGTTCAGGGTACTGTGTATGTGCCATTAAGTAGCAAAATTTCTGCCTTGATGAGAATTTTCTGGCCACTGCCTCTCACGTCCTCTCCCCTAACAGAGAGAGGTGTTTGCACTGGGGACCCTCGGTGGGGAGTGACCGCCGCCTGCGCCTGGCGTTGAGTGCGCCCACCCCGGGGACGCCGTCCTCCTGAACAGTCTTGTTTCCTCTCCTAGGGCACCACGAAACCCCACTGTCCGCGTCCACCAAGATGCTGGAGAGATTCCCCAACAACCTGCCCAAACACCGGGGAAACGTCATTCCTGCGGACTCAGAGAAAAAGAGCTTTGAGGAAGTGAGTGGGGAGGAGAACCGTTTCCGGCTCGTCATGTTGTGTGTCGGGGAGAAGGCCTTGGCCTCGCCTTAGAGCTCGCAGTCTACTCAAGCGGGAAGAGGAAGGCAGGGGAGTCCATGGTGAACCCCAGATTGTTAAGGACCAGCGGGGGGAAGGAGATGGCGATTAGCAAAAGCCGTAGGACAGGCAGTAGACCGAATGGTGGGAGGGAGGCAGAGGGCGCTGGAGGGGGGCGAACAGCAGAGGTCATGGCCTGGAGGTGGGGCTAGCCCTGGCGTGTCCAGGTGTGGGGCTGCGGAGACAGACCTGACCAGATCCTGAGGCTACCAGGCGGGGACCAGTGGGAAACAGAGTCACTCGGCTACACAAGAACCGTGTTACCAAACCTGAACAATCCTGGCGGCCGAGCGGAGACCAAGAGAGGAAGTAGGAGACCCGAAGTTCTGTGGCCGCTCGGGCTGGTGGAGGCAGGGCCTGGCAGGACCCAGGGCACCCGCAGAATGCAGCGCGGGCAGCACGGGCAGCGCGGGGCCCAGGCGGAAGCTGCCGTGAGGCCGTGACCTGCGCTGCCCTCCTGCAGTCCTGGGAGAGAGCGTGTGCTAGTCAGGGTCCCCCGACACCCGTGGTAGGATGATTTGGGGGGGGTGGGGGTAAGAGAGGGACTGCTCACACAGGGGTCTCTTGCTAATTTGGCCCAAAGTGGGAGGGGAGGGAGTGGAAAGGGTGCCCACACCAGGAGCCGAGAACTTCAGCTGAGGGTGTTCAGCAGCCCCACAGAACGTGGCCTCCTTCTCCTCCCTCCATCTCATCTGCGACATCTTAGTCAGAAACCAGAGGGCAGCTGGTTACACGCCAGAGGGAGACCATTGCTCTGCACACACGGGGCAGCTTTCTGGGGCGCAGAGCAGGTGGAGAAGGCCGGAGAGCATGTCTGCAGACAGGGTTGGAGCAGGTCAGCGGGGTGGGGGTCCAGGGCCATTCGGACCGGGCAGCTCCTGCAGCCCCGTCATGGGGGCCAGTGACTGGGAAGGGGCCTGGGCTACCGTCAGGGTCAGAGGAAGATGAGAGTGGCTGGCTGATTTGGGGACCACGATCACCCCCAATTCACTTCAGAGACTGAGATTTTATCCAGACAGAAGGGAGACGAAAGTCACGTCCGCAGGTAGGATTCCGGGCCAGCGACTCTGCGCTGTCCCTCATCTCGGGAGGCAGCCGGTCGGGAGGACACCGTGGGGTCTCGGACAGGGATCTTGGGTAGCACTGATGCCGTAAAATCTTGATCTGATTTTGATCTTACTAAAAATCAAACATGTTTGTGACTTACACTTAGAAAATAAAAGTATAGAAAAGAAAATCAGACATCACCCTTAATCTGGCACCCAGAAATAGCCCCAGTTGGCATTTTTCATATTTAATCATCCAATCTTAAAGGTAGTTTTCTAAAAGTCCATTAAAATACTCTGAGGTGCATTTTTGTGGTAATAAGACATAACCAGATGAGTGCTGTCTGTGGTCACGTGCTCAGCAAACACTCCTTGGCTGCCTGCTACGCACCGGCCGCGCCACACACCCTACATGTGGCAGGAGGGAGACAGCTGGGGCAGGGGGCGAGGGACGCTGTGGGCAGAAGTCTGGGGTGGCCAGAGGGGTGCGAGTGGGGGAGGCCAGGCCCTGCGCCCGCCGAGGGCCATGTGTTCACTTCCTCTGGCAAACAGCCACACGCACCTGGAGCAGCAGGTGACTGTCATCCGGTCAGCGCATTTTTCTAGACTGTTCTCGAGGTCCTGATTCTTGGGGTCTTGGACAGAAGCCCTACTTTTATCCAATTTAATTGGGGGCTTCTAAATAAAATTTCACTTAACAAAGGGTTCTGATGCTTTTCAAAACCTGAAAACCAGTGGACTGCTGGAATAAATTATTTTGGTTTTGGAGTTTTGAATGGAGCGTTTCAAGCAACATAAGAAAGCTGCTTTTTGACTTTCCAGCCACATGTGTGCATGCGGTTTTCCTCGTTTGTGGGGAATGGCATTTCCAAATGGACTACCAGTCTTTTCACCAGACTTTGTCATAGATGACTTCAGAGTTTTTCCAACTATTAAATCTGCCATCAAAGGGGAGGGCGTTTTTGTCTTCAGTGAGGGTTTTTGAAAGAATATAGGATCTGAAGGCACTTTCAAATGTATTGCTGTAAAAACTGTTTTTGAGTAAAGGTAATGTCACAGCAATAATTCATCGCAAGGCAATCACTTAGGGGAAGGCAGTGAGTGTCCGGCCTTGCGCTCTTTGGGTGGGCTTCCAGAAGTCCAGCACACTTCACAGTCCAGGCGCTCCTTGCGAATAGTTAGTGCTTCTCTTGACTTGCTCATTTATGTCTTGCTAGAAACGTCACAGTGATGTAACCACTCTCTCCTGTAAAAAGGTCATCCACCTGGTTGATCAGAATCCAGAGAACGCGCCCACCACCGTTTCCCAGGACGTGGAGGAGAAGTTCGCTCACGCCCCTGCCAAGCCCGAGGCCCCCGTGGACTCCGTGCTCAAGGACATAGCCACCATCATCCTGAGCACCGTCCTGCTCATCGGCTGGGTGGCCTTCATCATCACCTACCCCCTGGTAAAGCTCAGCACCCTCCCCCTAACCCTCCCACGTGTTTCCAGACTTCTTTGCCCATCAGACCTGTTGTCAGTGAGGTCTGGACCAAAGCAGCAAGCAAGCAAGTGCATTTCTTTTCACGTTTAAAAGTTAATACTTGCTAATCCTCAAGAAAGGATGGTTTTGTACCTACATCTTGTAGTTTGACTGTACAGACTAATTTGTAAACCTTGCTTTGCAGTTCCTTTTGAATAGTTAACTATATTCTCTTTTTTAAAAAAATAGTTCTAATAGTTGAACATCTGTTTAGCTTTCTTCCCTTAAAAGCAGACTGTTAGAGATGTCAGCTAGAGGGGGAAGGGGGTCCGGTAGCCCCTTCCACTTTCTCATTGGAAGTACCTGAGCTAAAATCCCGTGGTTGTGTGGGTTGTGTGTGGGGTGAAATGTGCTAGAGGAATACTTCTTCAGCGGGTTGCTCCGAGAGCTGAAACGTCATCGCCTTAGATCACAGTACTCAGGAAGTCATTTATAGGAATTGATGTTATAAACCCTTTATTTTGGGGGCACTTTTCACTTGTTTAAATGGGTTCACCTGCATTGTTTTATTTTATTTTTTAAATCTTATGTGGCTTTATGAGGTCATTATTATTTATCCCCTACCCACAAATGAAGAAACCAGGCTCTGGGAAGTTAAATAACTTTCCCAAGGTTACTCAGCTAGTAGATGGCATTTCCAGGATTTCAGCCTGAGGTTAAGGGAGAGGGAGAGAACCCCGGTGGGTTGTTGGACACCACGTGTCCGTTCAGTCACCTTTCCAAGCCTGGGTAGTAATTATCATCAACTACTCTGCTTCAGATTATGCCGGAGTGAACTTTCAGAATAAATGAGAGGTGCGAGGGAGTGTGGGAAGGCAACGTGGTGAAGTGGGGGGAGCAGGACCCGGGCCAGGCCCCTGCGTCTCGACCCCGCTCTGTGACATCCAGGCGTTGTGGCTGTTGGCCGATGGCTACCAGGTGCTCAGCCCCAGCTGCTTTCTCTGCCACTGGATGCGGATGGCTGTGCACTACCCTTTGCTGAGTGCATGGGCAGAGTTAGCAAGCAGGTCTTCCCTGTATCTGCCACGTTTTCAACTGATGCTCCTGTTTGGTTTCATGTTTGCAAGAACTTCTAGACTCTCATAAAAGTCCCCCCTCTGCTGCCCCTGCCTGGTGGCCATTCGGCCCCTGGCAGGCCCCTCCAGTGGGGAGAATGGGCTGTCCTGGGAAGTCTAACTGGCAGGAAGACCCCCTGGGTCTTCCCACTGGTGTCCCGCCAGCCCTGTGGGGTCATATGAAGTGCACTTGCTTCCCGCTGGCATCCCCAGAACAAGCTGCACTGACTTGTCTGGATGTGTGTTTCTTTTCCCAGAGCATGCATCAGCAGCAGCAGCTCCAGCACCAGCAGTTCCAGAAGGAACTGGAGAGAATCCAGCTCCTGCACCAGCAGCAGCTGCCCTTCCACGCACCTGGAGACGTGGCTCAGGACGCTGAGCCCCTGGACTCGTCCGGCCTGTACTCGGAGAGCTCGGGCACCAGCAGCCCCAGCATGTCCCCCAGAGCCTCCAACCACTCGCTCCACTCCAGCAGCTCTGCCTCCAGGATTGGCACCGGCCCCTTTCTGGAGCAGGATGACGAGGGTAAAGCGAGTTGCTGTTTGGTGCTCTTTGCTCTTTCATCTGAATATCACCTGAGGGACACAGCACTGTAACCTTCCCGGGAGAGTCCGTGGGGTGAAAGAAGTGCCATTGTTCCCAAGGGGTCAGCATGTTCCCCCCGGTGCCCTCCCACTCTGGGGACCGGGGTTCCGTCCCATCGTGTGGCCTCTTCCCCTCAGAGAGCCCTCCTTCCTTCTTGCCCCACGAGGGCCGGAGTCACTGCTGACCAGAGGTGCACCGGCCGTCCAGTTTGAGACCGTTCCCCAGGCCAGCCATGGGCCTCTTTCCCCTGGGAGGTGGGGCAGGCCAGTTGTCAGGACAAGGGACCTCAGTGTCCCGAGTCTCAAGCTGGAGACTTTGTGGCTGGTCTCTTCCTTTCACACGTCTACCATTGCTACCTGAGTTTCAGGTGCAAATCTCTGAGATGGATCTGTAGAGAACCCCCGTCTTTTGGAAGGTGTAACATTTATTCCCATAGCAACGTGAAGGCAGGATCGGGGGCAAGGGACGGGGGAGGAGGTGGCCCTGGGCACCAATGGGGAGTGGACCCAGAAGCTTTTGCTTACCAGGGGACGGGGGCGTAGAGCCTCTGAGACGCCGTGTCTCAGTGTGAGCTCAGGAAGCTGGTGGCCGTTCGAACCTCAAGGTTGTTTGGGTATGTTCGTTTCACACAGCCCCTTCTTTGTCCTGTTTTGTTCCAGACGAGGAAGCCAGCATGGTGATGGTGGGAAAAATCTCCTTCTACCCCAAGGACGTCCTGGGCCACGGAGCCGAGGGCACCATTGTGTACCGGTGAGTGGGCTGGAGGGCGCTGAGCTTTCATCACAGCAGGTACAAGTGCCTGTCGGCCTGAGGTGGTGTGCTGGGCTCCAGGGGCACCGCAGGGGCACAGCTGTGACTCAGACGGAAGAGGTCCGCCTCCAGCCCCTGCCTGCTGGTTGGCTGGGGCCTCCTGGGCCCTGAGGCTGCTGAGTGGCTGCTGAGTCACAGGAAGAGCGGCGCTGTGGGTCCACGGGTCTCCCGTCGTTTCCATAGGTCCCCCCCCACCCCACCCCCGCACCTCCCAACCCAGCCCGGCTCCTTGTCACGCAGGGGCATGTTCGACAACCGCGACGTGGCCGTCAAGAGGATCCTCCCCGAGTGCTTCAGTTTCGCCGACCGCGAGGTCCAGCTACTGCGGGAGTCGGACGAGCACCCGAACGTGATCCGGTACTTCTGCACCGAGAGGGACCGGCAGTTCCAGTACATCGCCATCGAGCTGTGTGCGGCCACGCTGCAGGAGGTGGGCGCGCGGGCCCCCAGCAGCTCTGCGTCCCCACTGCAGCCTCCCTTCTCCCGGCAGCCGGGGCGTGGTCTCAGGAACGGCCAACTTGTTTTTTAAATTTCTTTCATTAACTTTATTGAGCTCATAATACAGCGTACTCACCTTAAACGTACAGTTTGACACATGTTGACAAAGTTGCATACCCGTTTAACCACAGTCAAAATGTAGAGTGTTTTCATCAAACTGGGTCACCCTCTTAGCCTGCCTGGGGCAGTCTTTGGCTGTGGTTATCATCTCTCTCTCTCTCTCTCTCTCTCTCTCGGCCTCCAGAGTAACTGGCCAGTCCTTCCTCCCAGGGCTGCTGTGGGCTTGGAGGATGCTTCATCATGATTTGAATCATTAGGTTCATCCAGGGAACTCCTTTTGCTCAGTTTCCAGCTCACCATGAGACTATTTCAGTATCATTCACTCCTAGGCCTACCTGTAGGAGGCACTGCCCTTGACTTTTTTGACCTCTCATCTTTCTCATTGTAGACTAGTAGGGTGGAGCCTGTTTGTTTGTTTAAATTAGCCTGTGGCTTCAGGAGAAAGTCTGCTGAAAAATAAGGATTTGGACAGAGAATGTCATCAGTAAAGCTTCCCATTTATTTCTTAAAATATGATCAAAGAATATAAGCTGACTCAATACCGAAGAGCTAGAGGCATGATTCTTCTAAATAAAATTGAATCATTTTTTAAAATAGCAAGAGATACACACACACACACACACACACACACTGCCCTGAGGGGCCGAGTGCCGAGGCCACTGGTCCTGAGTCCCGAGGTCAAGGCCCGTGCACCTTGACCGTGCCCCTGTGTCTCTTGCAGTACGTGGAGCAGAAGGACTTCGCCCACCTCGGCCTGGAGCCCATCACCTTGCTGCAGCAGACCACTTCGGGGCTGGCCCATCTGCACTCACTCAACATTGGTGAGAGGCGTCCCTCTGCTAGACGTCAGCCTGGGTGGGGCGACCGACTTGCCCAGAATCCGAGGCGGACTCTCACACGGCCAGAAACCTTCAGCGGCGGCAGGCGTGTTGGCGGGCTGAGGAGGGCACGCTGCCACCGCAGAAGGGGACCGGGGGCCGCTCATGGTTACCGTTGGACTAACCCGGAGTTCTGCGTTAGTCCACAGAGACCTGAAGCCCCACAACATCCTCCTCTCCATGCCCAATGCACACGGCAAGATCAAGGCCATGATCTCCGACTTTGGCCTCTGCAAGAAGCTGGCCGTGGGCAGGCACAGTTTCAGCCGCCGTTCGGGGGTGCCCGGCACAGAAGGCTGGATCGCGCCGGAGATGCTGAGTGAAGACTGCAAGGAGAACCCCGTGAGTAGTGAGCTCAGTCCTTTGACACCACAGCCTCTCGTACCTTCAGGAGTCAGGGCCTCGAACTTCCAGATCTGGGGCCGGAGCACACAGAGCCAGGGTGACACTGGTTGAGCAGAGGGCGTGGCGCTGGCCTCTCCATATTGTCTCCTGAGCAGGGGAACGAAAGGGGCAAAGGTGGGCAAGTGTCTGTTTGCTGTCCTCCTTTTCCAGTTACTTCCCCCACCGTTTGCACAAGGTGGACCAACTTCCTGTTTCTGTTCCTTTTTATTTGGTTTTTGTTTTCCCAACGTTTTATCTCGAGAACTTTTAGACATACAGAAAATTGAAAGACTGTGTCAGTGAGTAGCTCTGCACCTCTGCCTGGATTCACCACTTGGTGATATTCCTCACCAAGCAATTCCTGCTGTTTGTCTGCTGCTGAACCACTCGCATATAAGAGGAAGGCATCCAGTCCTTCACCCTCAAGTACCTCAGCACGTGGCCCCCAAGACAACTAACATTTGATATCTAACATTCAGGCCATGTTCACATGTCCCCAGGCGTCTCTCGTGGAGCCGGTTTTTGTGGGGCAGGTCCAGCGAGGGCCTTGCACTGCATCGGGTGACCTCTGGTCCATGTCTGCCCCCCAGCCTCCTGGTCCGTGGCGGTGGCCCTGTGCGGAGGCGAGCCCTTGTTAGCTCTAAGGAGTTGAGTCCATCAAAGTGGAATGTTTCTGGCGGTAACAGTCACAGTAGCCAGCGCCAGGAGGCACGAGGCGGCCGGTTGTACCACTATTGTGGCATGCTGGGCAGTGACGCCAGCTCGGCTGACCTGGCGCAGGGGACGACCACTTTTCTTTCCACGTGGAGCACGTTTTCCTCTTTGCCCTGAGTGCTGCGTCAGGTGAGGGTGATGTTTGGGCAGAGCGCGCGTGTCCTGTTTCCCAGCAGCCGTCCGCCCCGGGGGGCGCAGCACCCAGCGGCAGGCCTTCCCCGAGTCACTCGACTCGGGAAATTCTTCTGCCTTTATTAGCTGACCTTTTTGTGCAAAGAACTTCGTTTTTTATCCCCTTTCTCTCTGTTTTCTTTTTTTAAAATCACTGTTGATTCATGGATTTTTAAAATAGTGTTACAATCCATCATAGTCCTTTTTCACTTTTCTTTTTTCTTTTGTTTCTCCTTTTGATACTCCACTTGTCCCAGACTGGGCCAGCGGGAGCCCTTCAAGCCCGCCCCACACGTCCTTGACCCAGACCTGGACGGGGTCAGCCAGCCTCAGACAGACCTGATTCCGCAGAGCCCTCTCACCCCGTTCGCTAGGGACCAGCAGCTGGCCAGTTCATGAGAAGTTAGTTACAATGACGAGTAGTAAGAAAACACATCACACTTCAAACATTTTAACTTAAAGCAAGTAATGTGATTCGTTAAGTAATAGAAATCTTTGATGTAGGTCAAGGTCTTTTTCTTCAAAATTGGGTCCAGCTGAATGGAGCTGTCCATTTCCCCTCTTGTGTAAAGCACACTCGTGTGCCACTCCTGCGCCTTCTAGGCCGAGACTCCAGAAGGTGCAAAAATGCCTGAGACATTTCAGACGCTTCTGAGGAGTAGAATCCTGGTTTTTAACTATTTACATCCCAGTCCCGTGGAGTCAAGTCTCCCACCTCTAACTCGCGGGGTTTTGTAGCCGCTCTCTTTTATTGCATCCTGGCAGAGATTCAACTCACCTCAAACTGGGTGGCAGTTGTATTTTAACAGCTTATGGAATCTTTACATTGTAAGAACAAGTGGCAATAGTAAGTTCGGCGAAGAACGTGACTGAGCGTAGAGATGAGCTGGTGGGCGCAGAGGGGCCCGAGCACCTAGGGTGGGAGTCCCCAGCGTGCGTGTCGAGTGTGCAGGGACCTCAGGCAGCCGGGGCTGTGGGAAATGGGGAGCTTCAATGATACCGTTAGTGGGACAAGTGGACGGTGAGAACTGCAGCTGTAATGGACTTGCTCCTCCTGTCCCAAATCTGTGACCCACGTGAGGAAAGTTCTGATGAAACAGAAGAAAGATGGCTGGGGTTGGGAATCAGCACACCTGAGTCGTGTCCTGGTTGTCACTGTCCCACCCCGGGCTTGGCATTGAGCTTTTCTGTTCTGTCTTTATCTGGGGGTGGTGACATTTGCTGCTCCCCTCGTGGGGCTGTTTAGAGGGCAAGTGACAGTCGAGTGTTGTTATAGGAGTGTTTTCTCCAGCGTGGAAGGTGACGAGCTCCTGGCTTTCTCCCACTGGATCCTCACGAGTCTGCTGGAGAATCTAAGTGGCGGAGGCTGCTCGGGAGCCGCCCAGTGTTACTTCCGAGTAGTGTGAGCTAGAAGTCACGCGTGCGCGTTTCCCTGAAGAGAAGCTCCTGCGCAGACAGCGGTGCTGTGGGATGAGTGGGAGCTGTAAGACAACATCAGAGTGTCCTCGCTGGGAACTGGTCACATAATTTCTTTCTGGGGCTATTTCTGACCCAGCAAGTGTTTTGTTCATTTATTAACAAAGTTTTTAAGACCTGTCGTAAACAGGCACTAGTTTAGGCACTGGGGGTACACCAGGGAAGCAAATGCACCAAAACCCCTGTCTCCCAGGAGTTAGCTGCTGGCTGGGTGAGGAATAGCGAACGGCTAGGAGAGAGCTCCCTATTGGCCACACGCTGGTTTTCGTAAACTTTCACATGTTCATGTGCTTAGTCTTCACACCCACCCCACGAGGAGCATCGCATTGTTCTTTCCCTCGTGTTGCATTGGAGGACCCCGAGGCACAGAGTGGCCAAGGGACTCCCAGCGGGCAGGTGGCGGCAGAGCCAGCGTCCCCCGCCGTGGGCTCCAGAGCCCACGTTCTCCAAGGTGAACACCAGCACCCACGCGGCACCTGCAGGGTGCCCGGCACTGCTCCGAGCAACTCCCAGACGCTAGCCTCTTCTACCCCGGCACCTTCAGCGTGGAGGAAGTAGCGGCCACACTCCTCTCTGCTGCCGAGTGGGAGGGGGGCTGCCCAGAAGGCCTCTCACACCCCACGCTTCTTTGCAGACCTACACCGTGGACATCTTCTCTGCGGGCTGTGTCTTTTACTACGTGATCTCTGAGGGCAGCCACCCTTTTGGCAAGTCCCTGCAGCGGCAGGCCAACATCCTCCTGGGCGCCTACAGCCTCGACTGCTTACAGCCCGAGAAGCACGGTGAGCGGGCGGGAGGGGCGGGAGCCACTCCTCAGCTGCCCCCGTGGCCCCGGAGGCTGGGCCGCTGCCTGCTCCGTGTTCCCAGAGATCCTTCTCTCCAGCTGCCCACCTGTGGCTGGGAGGGACTCCTTCTAAAGCCAGGAAGCTCTGAGTTTCCTTTAGGTCACCCAGTTAATTACCTGTGTGACAGGTAAGACTGCCTTTGGGAACCTCTGTTTTCCAGCTGTGACTTGGGAAGGCTAAACGATCTGAGGTCCTTCCTGCGCCGCACTCAGGAAGACGCATAGTCCGTGCTTCGTGAACGGGGCGTCTCCCGTCTGCACCAGTGGTCCGCGGGGGCAGGCGGGGCTGGGACCGGCCAGCTCGGTCCTCGCTGTCCGCGCACGGGTGCCACAAGTCCTTCCTCCTCGCTGCAGGGTTCTCTGTGTTATAATTGGCCTGTGGCATTCCAGTTTAAAATTTTTTTTTAACTTTATATAATTAAAACTAACTTACCATTTTGTGTATGGATTAACTTTCCTTGTTCCCCATAGAAAGATTAGCTTAAGGTCTGTAATCCCATTACACAGTGATGAATGATTGCTGTTGCACCTTTGCATACATTATTCTGGACATGTATGCATCTTCTTATTTTAAGTGGGGTTAAATGGTACCTCCTGTTTTGCAATATGCTCGTTCTTTAACTTCACCTTGAACATCTCTGTGCCGGTCCGCTCAGCCAGGGCGTCATTGTAATGGCCCACAGTTCAGGATGCGGCTGCCACCTGCGCCTCTGATAGTGGGTATTTCAGGCCTTTTCACACACCGTGTGGTGAGGACTCTCCTTTTAGCCAGAGGTTGTGGGCAAGCTCCTAATTATGTTACTGGGATGGGTTCCTGTCAGTGGCATCTCGACTTCAAGGCCGCGCAGACGGTTACAGTCAGGGCAGGTCATCTGGCGTCGGGCCAGTGATGACGCGCGGCACGTTTGTTGTCCTCCGCTGCAGAAGATGTCATTGCCCGGGAGTTAATAGAGAAGATGATCGCGATGGATCCTCAGAAGCGCCCGTCGGCCAAGCACGTGCTGAAACACCCGTTCTTCTGGAGCCTGGAGAAGCAGCTCCAGTTCTTCCAGGTGGAGATGCTTGTTTCTCTGTCTGCACTCTCCACTTAATGTTCTCCAGGTTCTGGAAAGATAGCAAGGACAAAGAATAAAACAAACAGCCCATGATCCCATAGCTGAGAGGTAACCAGGCCTGATGTTTTAATACGTTTTCCTCATAAAATACAAGTGTCATTAGGGTCAAACTGTAGATACAGTTTTGTATCTTGCTTTTTTTTTTTTTACCGTATATCATAATTGTTTTTCCATGTTAAAGTTCTAAAATTTTAATGCCCATTAGATTATATCATATGGGCATGCCACAATTTTCAACCTTTTTATTATCAGAACTTTCAAATGCACTGAAGAGTAGGGGGAATGTGACGATGGGCTCCCAGTTGGCCGCCAGCCAGTTTCAACGGTCACTAACTCTCCCTCTGCCCTCCTTTCACCCCTCCCCGCCCCAGACTATTCTGAAGCAAATCTCAGGTGTCATCATTTCATTCAAGTTTCATAAATTTAAACATTTCCTTACCTCGGATTTTTTTTCTATCATCTTGTACTCAGTTGTCGCCCAGATCTTAAGATAGCCTCTTGAGAGGGTAAGTGATAGGCTCAGTGAATGTGAACTCCTCTGGCGGCTGGCTCTTTTAAGGCCTCTTTTAAGGTTTTGCCAGCTGGCCCTGGGGAAAGGTGGTATGTGCCCCAGTCTTCCTGGTGTGAAAGCAGGTGAGGTGCTCCGGGTCTGTGGCCAGGCCTGCGTCCGTGTCCTCTCCCTGCCGTGGGCACGGTCTGTGTGGGCCTCTCCCCAGTGAGCCACAGACACGGCCGCTCCCAGGGGAAGGGTGAACAGCACTGGGTGGGGGAGGGGGGGCAGGAATCGCGCTGCCCAGCTCTGAGGCGGCTTCAGCCCGGGCTTGAGACGCATGGAGCAGTGGCCGCTCTGCCTGGAGCCGGCCCGCCGGCGCTCAGCCTCTCTCTGCACCCCCGTCACCCGCGGCCCTTGTTCCCCGCCCCCAGGACGTGAGTGACCGGATAGAAAAGGAGTCCCTGGACGGCCCGATCGTGAAGCAGCTGGAGAGAGGCGGGAAAGCTGTGGTGAAGATGGACTGGCGGGAGAACATCACCGTCCCCCTGCAGACAGGTGACTACCGGAAGCCCCTGGGGGGGGCGGGGCGGTAAACCCTGGCACAAATGTCTCAAAAGCTGCAGCCGTTTCCAAGAAGCACGTGTGTAAATGGCGGCCCCAGGCCGTTTGGGCTCCAGGTGAGGCTTTCCCCGGGTGTGGTCTGTGGTCTGGGTACCAGGCAGAGCGCGACACCGTGTGCGCTTTATTTCTGCCTCGGACAGAGGTGGGGCGGGGGTGGTGCCCGCGTGCTCACGGCGGTCACTCCTGGCCGGGCTGCAGCCCGGAGCTGGGGCGCTCCCTTCCCCGAGGAACGTGGAGTCCGGTTGCTGCAGTGCGACCTCCCAGCCCCCAGGAGCCCCAGGGGTCACTTTCTTACAAAACGTGTTGCATTGCATTTCTTGTTTTGGGGTTTTTTTTTCCTAGATCTGCGTAAATTCAGAAGCTATAAAGGCGGCTCCGTCAGAGACCTCCTCCGAGCCATGAGAAATAAGGTGAGGGCTGCGACCTGCAGCGCGGAGGTCCTCCTCCTCTTCCCCGTGCTCCGCACATCTCCCATCCGTTCTGGGACTCGGACCTCACACGGGCGGGGCGGGGCGGCCGCAGCCAGACCTGACAGACTGGAGACCTTCTTCCCTCACTCGGGTTTTGTCCTCAGGGGCGTGGAGGTGAGCAGCTCCTTGGGGAGCAGGCTCTCGGATGCCATCTAACCCGCTTTAACAGGACCCTCCGGGCCCCTTCCCACACGAGGCCTGGTTGCCACTGGTTCTCTGGAGGGATCTGGGGTGCTCTTGGCCTGAGCTGTCCCTGAGCAGCCTTCAGATAAGGCCTTGGACCAGACGAGGCCCCCAAACCCATTGGGACAGACAGTTCAGCTCCAGGTGGCTTTACTCCACTCAAGGCTTCCAGGAGCCTCGCTAGGTGCCAACGCCTCTGGAGGCCTGACCGGCCCCTGCTCACGGGGCCTTGCCCGGCTCCCGAGTGAGGGGAGGCCGGCAAGGAGAGCGGGATGGATTGTGGGCCGCTTAGACTTTTTCCCTTTTCTTTACAGAGAACCAACTAACGTTCTGTCTTCCTTGAGTAAAGGGTCTCTTGGCAGCATTTTGCGGGCGCCTGACTGACAGCCTGTGTCTGTGTCGCCCGTTTGCAGAAGCACCACTACCGGGAGCTCCCCGCGGAGGTGCGGGAGACGCTGGGCTCCCTGCCCGACGACTTCGTGCGCTACTTCACCTCGCGCTTCCCCCACCTGCTCTCCCACACCTACCGCGCCATGGAGCTGTGCGGCCAGGAGAGGCTCTTCCAGCCCTACTACTTCCACCCGCCCCCGCCCCCGCCCCCGCCCCCGGAGCCTCAGCCCCCCAGGACTCCAGACGCCCTCTGAGCCGGGCGGCCCCTGCTCTGGGGGCCCCGCGGTGACTGAGGGCCTGACCCCACTCAGCAGGGAGACCAATGCCTCCCAAGCCCAGTGCCTTGAGCTGCCTGCTCTGCAGCCAGCAGAGGAGGGTGCTGACCCCAGGAAGGTGGAGAGGCGGCCCCCCCAACCTGCAGGAAGCTGGGGAGAGGGCGGCTGCGAAAGCTTTCCCATCAGGGCCTGTCCCAGAGGCGGCAGCAGGAGCGCCCTCCACCGCCTCCTGGACAAACTTGCTTCAGACTTCGTTTCTTTCTAAACTTCCGGTGTGATGTCAGCCTGTGGGCCTTTAAGGAAGAGAGAGGAAGAAACCCCAAGCTCTGCCTGCGTGCTGTGACCTGGAACATCTCTGTCCTCGACCAGCGCTCTGGGGCCCCCCCACCAGTGCAGCCTCTGCTGGAAACAGGGCTCGAGGGGTGAGCGGCACCACAGAGGAGGAGGAGGAGGACGCGCAGGGGCGTCATCCCTGGGGACTGGAGATCACTGATCGCCGCGGACACAAGGGCGCCCAGATAGCCCGGGTCACACTCTAACCGGTGTTTCCTCGGGGGTGGTGTTGGGACGGCCAGCACCGCACGCTGGGAGGCGAGGCCGTGTCCGCAGGTCTCGGGAGTGAGGAAGAGGCTCTGTTCTGAGGCAGCTGCAGCCCGGTGTGCCAGTGGCCTGACGGCGGCTTTTCGGTAGCTTTGTGCCTGGACCATTTAGGGAGTTCAAGGGCATTTGGGGGCAAGAAGTGATAATTCCCAGGCCATCAAGGAACCCGGGCAGAGATGGGCCTTCGGACCGGAGCGGCGCATGGGCCTCACGGGTCGCCTGGCCACCCTGGGAGAGCCCGGGGCCAGAGGGCAGGTGGCGATGCTTCTCTGTCCCTGGAGCCGGCAGGATAGGCCAAGGGGGTAGGAGCCACGGCCAGGGTCTCCACGCACTTCGTGGGCGGGATTTTATGTTTTTCTTGGCAGATTTTAATAACTTTATATTTTGATCATACTGTAGAATGCTACATTAGCACAAGCAAACAGAACTGAACTTGAGGCTTACTCATGAAGAAAAAATGCAATACATCTATTGTGTGAGGTACCCGAAGCCCCCGTCCCCCCACCAGAAAGAGTGTTCGTTCGTAGTCAGGGCATTCTCTAATGCTGATGAGGAGTAAAGTGTCATAGCAACTCTAGACACATGCATTAAACAGCTTCAAAGCAATAGTCCCTAAATTATGTCAATACCATGTTATTTTTTTTCCTCCTAAATTTAATATAATTTTTAATTTTAGTTTAGTCAGGAATTCTTATCTTTTCTCTGCCGAGAGCCGTCGAGGTTGTGTGCAGTCGGGGCACCACGTCAGGGGACGTGTTCTGTGTGCGTTCTCCAGCCGGGCACGCGGTCCGCCGCGGTCCGGGCCTGGGGAGCTCGGTGTTGCCGCCAGGTTTGGCTGGCCGCAGGGGAGTCGCTGTTTCTCGTTGTGAGGTGTCTGCTGGGGGTGCACGTGTGTGGAGGCCACTCCTCGAAGGCTCTCATTCTGCCTTTGTGGAATTCAGTTCCCTTCCTCTCATAACGTCTGAAGTCACTGTTTCTCTTAACTTAATAGTATCCCATGTCCTTCAGCCTCCTTGGCTACCTCACTGAGACCCGGGAACCCCGGCATCCTCGGGGGGCCTCAGGGTGCCCTGTGCCACACCATCCCTTTTTCAGGGAAAGCCAGATGGGTTTTGTCTCCCCCCTGTGATTGGCCTGTGTCAGCTCCACGCTGCAGGCCACTTTGCCACCGGGCCTGAGTGGGGACAGCTCGAGTGACGGGGCAGGAAGGTGGCCGTGAGGGACTTCGTGGGACGGTCAGCTTTCCGTGCTGGAAGGGCTTCTGCTGCTGCATCGCTGCCTCCTTCATAGAGCAGCCAGGTCGTTGCGAGCTGCCCAGTACTTGTCATCCCTCTGTTTTGGTCCGACTTGCCAGCAGGAAAACTATTTTAAAAAATGCATTTTCTGCTCACCGTGTCCGTTTCTAACCACCCAACTTTCTCAAACTCACGTATTCAATGTGTTGTACCTGAGCACTTCCCACGTGGGCCAGGCGGATACTGAGGCCTAGGGGCCCAGAGGCGGACAAGACAGGCAAACCCCTGCTGCCGGAAGAGCCTGCAGGGAGAGGCAACAAGGAGCAAGTGCCAGTTCCGTCCGGAAGTCCCGGGCTGGGGAGTGGCAGGCGTCCGGGGCGTGCACCTCTTCAGTCGTAAAGCTGCCCGAGTCCCAGGACCCACCAGGGCGAGTCAGGTCGCCTCTGTCCACCTTTTCTCCATCACCGTGAAGACCCAGTCACTCAGCAGTCCTTCAGGGGGTCTGAAGAGGTCTCTCAGGGACTCTTGTCTTGGAAACACCTTGGGCACCCTCTGGGATGTCCTGTTCCGGTCTCCAGAATCAGGTTTCCTGTTGTGCAGCTGAGCTATTTGACCTTTAATATGCTTCCCAGAAGGCTGTTGAACTTTTCAGAAGTACACATTCTTTATTTTCGTGACCAAGTTTGGTCGCATCTGTTAGGAACCCCAAGGGCACTATAATTCATTCAGGCCTTGTGTTGGACCTTGCATTGAATCAGTCTTTGGCACACCTGCCAGAATTTCTCGTGTTGCTTCTTGAGTCTTTTCAACTTCTACAAAGACCTCCACACATCACCAGGTGTCAGAGCATCAGCGCTTTTGGGGATCGACTGGTGGTACGTGACCAACCACTGACCCGTCTAGTGTCCGAGGCAGAAACCCCGGGTGCAGACGTGCCCTCCCCGCCCCTGATCTCTGCCATCGTCGTCCCAGGCTCCTCCTGGTGGGATGCCACCTTGACCCGTTGCGTGCGTCATGTCGGAAGATCCACAGGTGTAGTGGGTCCAGCAAAGTGTTTTCTTCCCACCCAGAAAGGTTCTTATCAGCATTAACGCCAATCCTTTCAGTAAGGTTATGTGTGGATGTGACTCATTTATCTCTGCAATTTTCCCACTGCAGTCAAGATGCGTTGGCTCCTGATCTGTCCTCTCACAGGTGTGGGGGGCTTTGGGGTGGCCGGGCTTTCTCCGCCTGGCCACTCTCTTCTCAGAAGTCGGACTCTGGCCTGCTTTGGGTTTCCCACGCCTGTTCCCCTCCCCCAGCTCTGTCCACGGGGCCGCGGCCTTGACCGAGGTCCTCGCAGAAGGTGGGCCGGTCCCGCCACTGCCGGTGCCGGGGAGAGCTGGAAGAGAAAGCCTGGCACCCCTCTAAAGAGCCCCTTTAAATTCGCTTTCTCTCTGCTCATTTAGTTTCTGAAATCCCTTTTCTTCCTACCTCTCAGCGTTTCTCTTGCCGGGCCACTCCGTCACCGCCCTGGAGTTGTCGTGTGGAGGAGTGTGACCTCGAGTGGGCCCTCCCTGGAAGGAAGGCACTGGGGGTCCCGTACAGATGAGCCAAATTTCTGCCTCCCAGGGTCGGACCATTATCTCTTAAACCAAAGTGTCTACTCCTCTGTCCTTTCTTTATGAAACAGTGACTTCCCACGAGTGACTCTGGTTCTGACTTTTGTAGCAGCATTGAAATCTTTTCTGTATTCATTGGAAACCCACAAAGAACCATCTGCAGGGAGCCCCCACTGGAGTGGCCTTAACTGACAGTTCCGGCCAGAGCCCCCCCCAACCCCGTGCTCTTCGTGTGTCTGGTGGGTGCAGTGTTCCTTTCCAAGTGTCCCAAAAGCTGTGACGGGTGTCCCCCCTTACCTAGCATTACCAGTCAACTCTGCAGCATTTTCAGATGCAAACCTTATGTAGTGTTCTTTTTGCAATGCCCTATTTATTTAACCTATTTATATTTATTTAATTTTTACTCTGAAGTATATGCAGTTACAATTGCACTTGCTTTGAAGCACAGAAGATTTGTTCTGGACAACACCCCTGACCATTGTTAAACTGGAAAAGGAAAAGTTATACTGTGCCCTTCCACAGGGCGGACTCCTTACGGTAGTTTTGTTAGTAAAGGGTGAATAATTTGGTCGTGGTAAAAATGTTAATTTTTAAGTGATTTTTTTAAAAAAGATTTCTGTGCCATTGTGTCTGTTGCGTGTCTGGTTCATTGTTAAATGTGTTCGTTGTATGACACAACCCTCTTTGTGGAGCCCAGAATCCTCCTTTTTAGCTTTATATTTTATAAACTGCCAGATTGTACAATTTTTATGTGTATTTTTAAAGCTTGATGATGTGAGGGTAATTATATAAGTTAAATGGCCTATTTTTGTACCTCCTGTACAGTTTTATAATTCTGCTGATTGATGATGGCGTCTTATGTTGAGCCAACCACAAATAAAGGTAGTTTTAGATTTGGAAGCCCGTTTCATCTCCTTCCAGACTCGACCCCCACTCTCAGACCAGGGCGTCGTTCCCGGCTGTGTTCTTGGGTGGGGGGCGGGGCGCGGCAGGAAGGGAACAAACAGTTGCCAGCTGGGGTCCGTGGCAGGGAACTGGCCGGAACGTCCATCCTCCATGGCCGCTGTCTGTGGGGAAAGGTCCTTGGAAACGTGGCGGGAAATCCCCCAGCGTCTTGATTTGGGCTGAATTCCAAGAAGGCGGCCCAGTTGGGACAGGTTGACCTCATAGGGAGAGCGAGGCTCCAGCAGAGCCTGGGGCACGTGCACAGTGAACAGGGTGCTGGGCCAAGAAGTCCAGGAGGAGAGAAGCTCACTGAGGTCACGCGGCCGTCGAGGTGCTGGGACAGCCACCTCCTGAGCGTGTCAGAAGCACGGTACGTCCTCACGCCAAGGAATGAGCTCAGTGGCCAGTCGGGCCAGATTTTAGGGTCCTGCCATCACGCTTTCTCCTCCCAGCCCTCGGGTGGAATTGAAGCAGACTGCTCTCTCCTGCACCCCCAGAAGGGAGGCGCCAGAGGCTCCCCAGCTTTGGGACTGCTTAGCTGGGGCTATGCTTCAAGGCTTGCTCCTCCCGCTGGGCCCGCCACTGTCCCATCCCCCCACCTCACTGAGGATCATGGGCACACCTTCCCACCCTCTTCAGCCCAGGACCCCACAAAATCCAAGGGAGCATGAGGTGCTGCAGGCTGAGGCTGGCGTCTGCTCACTTCCTGTCACCCACTGCAACGACCAAGACAGCTCCTGGACTCCCCACACACTGTTAAGCCAGGACTGTGCCTACCTCTGGAACTGGCCCAGGCCGGGGAGGGAGGCCGCTGGTAACACCCTTGGCTGCTGCTGAGAACAGAGAAAAGAGGCCAGCAGGGGATGGAGACGCTGGCACGAGCCAGGGCCTTGGTTCCGGCGCACCGAGGCAGGGTCTGCTGAGGCTCCGGAGAGGTCTGCTCTTAGCGTCTGATCTGTTGTATTAGACACATGCAAAGGCACACACAGCTGTGTTCGCCAGTGAACGCACTGTTTGTACGCTCTGTATCTGTCTCATTGGCACCGTGTGTGCTAGACCCATGCCCTAGCTTCAAGAGACCGTGACGACGGCCAGCGTGAGAGCACGGCCTGCCTGCCTCCCTCTGGGCCCGGGGCTGTGCTGGGCATCTCGTGTCCCGATCGATCGTTGGCCATAATATCTCTCTCTTTCCTGAGAGACTGATGAGACTCTGGCAAGGCCAAAATCCAGGTCTCGAGCCCATGTCTGGGCCAATAAGCTGTAGGCAGAGGAGCAGGACTGGCAGGTGCCTGGGAAAGCACATTGAAGGACGATGGGGTCGGAGGGAGTTTCCAGAAACGGGAGGGGCAGCACAGCCACGTAGGAACTGAGTAAATGTGGCCCCTGAGATGGGGGGGCCCAGTCAGTGCTCTTCCCCGCTGTCCCCTTTCCTGCCTCCTCTCCGGATCCTCCGTCCCAGGCCTGCTCAGCGATTTGGAGGGTGAAGCCGCAGAAGTCCTCATGGAGTGTGCCTAAAAACGACACAAAGCTGGAAAGGGTGACTCACACCACAGGACTCGTCACCCCATTAGGATTCCAGAAGAGGTCAGGAAACTGGAATACTGAGTCTAACCCGAAGAATGACAGGAAGTCCTGCCTTGACACTAGTGATGGGGCTGAGGAGGGAGGGCAGGGCTGGGAGGGGCCTGGAAACTCACAGACGCTTGAAGGGTTGGGGCCTCAGGCACCTGTCATGGGACAGGGAACTGGCTTTGCTCTCTCGCTCCAGGTTTAAGCTGGAGTAGGGGGAGCAGTGTCCAGGAGGGCAGACCCAGCTCGAGGAGGAAGGGCTGTCTCAGAGCTTGAACTGCTCACCAGGGAAGGAGGCCGTGTGAGTGAGTGCGTGCCGGCTGTCGGGGTGGGCTGGGGCGCCCAGCAGACGGGAAGGACCTTGTCGTGAGCAGACTAGGAAGAAATTATTTTTGGGGTCCGAGGTTGGACTCAGGTCCCTTCCAAACAAGCACATGTGACAGGCCTTCCCCTCCCTGTGGTCGGTTCCTGGAAAAGGGCTGTGTGAGCAGGTGTGAACCACAGGAAGTGGGGAGGAGAGGTGTGGGCAAAGGTGACGGTTGGGTTCTGGGTGGGCTGTCAGTTCTCCAGGACTCTGCCAGGGGGCGTCTCACGTTCCAGACATGCGTGCGCTGAGGCACGGCTGGTGCGGGGGGACAGGAACAAGGCCCATGCTGACTCTCTCAGGACAGTTTGCCCAAGTTTGCACCTTAGAACACTAGTTCCAAGGGACAATAAACTTACGGGGCAAAAAAGGTCTCAATGACCAGATAAATTTGAGAAATGCCGCATTAAGAAAAGAGTCCCTATCCACGGCAATACTGTTCAGAGGCCCTCCCTTGCTACAGCTCCAGGACGGGATAGACACTCACCTCCAGTGTTGCCTTTAGTTTATAAAAAAGGAAGGCTATTTGAGTGGCAGAACTAACCCTATGTTTTCGTCAAATCTTATTTACTTTTCCCTTTCTGGATATCTGGGAAGACAGCATTCCCAGCCTCGCTGACATCAGCTTGGTGCATGTGACTAATTCTGGCCAATGGGCTGTGAGTGGCAGTAACGTGTCACTTCTGAGCCAACGCACAGCCCGCCAGCCTTCCTCTGACGGCGATGGGCCACCGTGAAGGCTGATAGTGAGACGACACAAAGAAGTACCCTGAATCACAGAGTCACCACTTTCCAGTTGTCCTGTAAAGTCGCCTGACTCAGAGCAGACTTCTCCTCAGTAAAAATAGTGAGCCCCTGTGTGCGGCACCTGGCATGTCTGGGTTAATGGCCACAGCCTTGCTGAGCCCATCCTGACCGAGACAGGTAAACAGCGTCAAGAGAAAAGGCTATTACGTGCACCTGAAAGGTGAAGGTTAGTGCCGAACCATGTGTGCCTTTCGCTAAAAAGTTCATGCTCTCAGAGGATCCAAGGGGCACACGAGGAATTCTGTACCTGCTGCCCTGTCCTTCACCCCCTCACTGGTCTCCCCTTCACTGACCATCCTGTTTGGCCCTGGCAGTTACCAGAACCACAGCTGAATCATGCTCAGGGTGACACGTGATGAAATGTGGGCTGAACCGGACAAGGACGGTGGGAAGGGAAAGGCAGGGGCCCCACTGGTTCCCTGGGCACCAGAGCACTGCCTGGGTTTGTGGGGTTGGGGCGTCCAGCTTGGCAGAGGGGTGGAGGGTGAGATGGGGACATTTCCTCTCAGTGGCACCCTGTCTCCACAGAACAATTTTAGGGGGAGTGAGGGGGCACTGAGGGCCAAAGGGGGCTAGTTTATGCCAGGCCCCCTGACGTGTGGAGCCGAGGGTCTGACCTCTGTTCTGCAGACCTTAGAAGCCCACCTTCCGTCTCATCTGCTGCAGAGGGAAGAAACCGTGGGGTGGAGAAGGACAATGATGAAAAGAAAAACATTAAAGAAGCCACAGGTATTACTTAGCAAAGCTGCCTTCCCCCTTCCACAGGGGAGTCATGTTTTGTCACCCTGAGCGGCTGGTTGCTGTGACACTCTCCCTGGCCTCTCAGCCCTCCCCACCGGCGTGACAGGAAGGAAGCCCTGGGAGACAGGTTTGCTGTGGCCAGTGTAGTTGTTTGCCTGCGTTTCTTTTTCTAATCCTCACCTGCGGACATGCTTATTGGTTTGAGAGAAAGAGGGGAATCAACATGAGAGAGAAATAGAGATCAGTTGCCTCCCGTACATGCCCCGGCCGCGATCGAACACGCGGCCTACGCTCATGCCCTGCCTGGGGATCAAACCCACGACCTTCTGGTGTACGGGACGATGCTGCAAACTACTGGGTCACCCAACCAGGACTATCTGCATTTCTTTAACATTTTTAGCCAGACCAGGGGCCTTCAAACTTGGATTGTATCGGAATCGAGGTCTGGGGAACTTGGCAAACACACACAGGCGTAGGCCCTGTCCTGCTTCAACACACTTGGGCCTCTGCATTCTTTAATTTGCAAGTGATTCTGACACACCCCAAAGTGTGAGAACCCCTCATCTCGGCCATGGTGCATATAGAAAGGAAGTCCATGAGATAATCATCGTTAACGCTTTGGTGTGTCTTTCTTTCACTTACTAAATGCGTATAATTTAAAATCTGCATTTGAATGACACCATGTACTTTTTAAACATCCCAGGACTGAGAAATAACTGGTCATCTAATTCCACGGCAGGGTGGGCTCCCTGGCCAAACCTCAGTCAGGGGCCCTAGGGCCCACCCCTCCGCCCCCACCCCCAGTGGGCTGTGGTCCATGGAGACCTTCGGGATGGTCTCGTTGCGCTTGTTCGTAAATGACACGTGAGATGCAGGTCTCTTCCATCCATCACACTGGACACTGGGGGAGCCCTTGCAACCCAAAGGCTGTGTCTGTCTGCGTGGAAAAATTTGCTTGTATGATTTAAAAATTTTTTTTATTTACTGATTTTTAGAAAGAGTGAGGAAAGGAGAGAGAAGAAAAAAGGGAAACATCCATTTGTTGTTCCACTTTTTCATGCATTCACTGGTTGACTCTTGTATGTGCCCTGACCGGGGACTGAACCCACAACCTTGGGACATTAGGAAGATGCTCTAACCAACTGAGCTGCACAGCTAGGGCTGCATCTGTGATTTTTAAATAATTGTCCCCCCTTCATTTTTTCTGTTTCCATTTCTGGGTAACAGTAGAATGTTGGGACTCTGGGTGGGTTCCTCCATGTTACTTATCTTTTATATCTTATATTCCATTTGTTGATTTTTCCTTCTGGAAAATTTCCTGGCTTTATTTTCCAAATTTCTATGATACTTTTTAAAAAAAAGTTTTCTGCAATTCTCTGTATCATCTCTGTATCTTTAGGGGTCATTTTTATTTATCTTGATCTCTCTTCTCCAACTTGCAGGTTTTCCAAAATGGAATGGTGGCTCTTGATGGGTTAGACTTACTCGGAAAGGAGGCAGGAAAGAGAGGACTGTGGCCTTGTGTGCTGAGCAGAGCTCCTCAGTTCGTGAGCCCTGTTTTTAGGTAACCATATAGAGAACCCTTGAATGCCAGCATGCAGAGGTTTTAGATCTGAGGTTCTTAAATATCTTTGGAAAAGAGTCTTCTGATTGTCAGCCTGGGGATTGACTGCTGCTGCCTGTCCTTCTGCAACAGGGACAGGGGAGAGTCACATGTTCTATGAACCAACTCCTAGTTAATTCCAGTTCCCACAGGTCACGTCCAGACTCCACCACCCTCCCCTGAGTCTCCAGGCTGAAGTCTCGCTCCGGGTCTGTTGGGCAGATCGAGCTCGTTTGTTGCATCTCAGTCGTGCATAACTGCAGGCAGAGAGAGGCCACTGCCCTCCGAAAGGGCTGCAGCCTGCAGAGAAACCTGGCTCCTGGGGACCGGGCTCCTGAGTGGGCACAGCAGGTACGAAGAAGGGACATGGAGGTGTTGATGAGAATGTAGTTGCCCTTGGGGTCCAGACCCGTGGAGGGAGAGAGGATTGCACAAGAGATTCCTGGGGTGAAGAATATGAAGACAGAGCAGTTCTGCAGGGTGGCAAAGCAAGGTTTGGCTTCAGGGTGGGCGATGGAGTGGAGGCAGAGATTTGCAGTGAGGAAGCGAAGAAGGGAACTCTCAGGTGTAGGTGGGCCTTCTGATGGACATGGGTCCCCAGGGCGACAGCAGAAGTCGGAGGACAGGGAGACAGAGCCAAGTCCTCCAGGAGCCCCAGGTGGGGGGATGGCCTTGGGATGGGGAGTTGGCATGGGTCTAGGGGGTGGTTGGAGGTGGCACACGAGGGCCAGTGTCTCTCCAGTAAAACAGGTTTCAGAGGGCAAATGGGACACGTTGAGCCGAGGGAAGTCTGAACCTGGATATGGGGGGAAACTCGTGAGCTGGTGGGCACTGAGCAGCCTGTACTTCACACTGAGGAGGCCCACACCTCTAGACTTGGGTGGATTAACGCACCTCCTGATTTGGACTGGGACAAATGGGAAGTTGCTCAGAAGCCAGAGGTGACATGGGGCCCCAGGCGGTTGGTTGCTGGGGCCCCCACGTTGTCAGCTGAGGCCACTTTCTATACCAACAGAGGAAATGGGGCCGTTCTCCGTTGTGGAAACGGAACCGTCCCTGGCTGGGTGGCCTCGTTAGGGCTGGAGAGCCCACACACTGGTGGGGAAAGGGAGGCCAGATTCAAGCCCCAGAGCTCGTCGGATAAGTCCCCACCTCTGCTCCTGGGCCTGGACCAGCAGCGGGCACCTCAACCACGGACACATTGTCCAGCGGTTACATCACAGGAAGAATACACACTTCGGGCTGTTGAAAACTCACGACCACCTGGTAGTACATAATCAATTTTTAAAAACTAACCCGTAACTATATTCAAATAGTTCTTAACCTAACATTCAGGCCTCAAAAGAGAACAGCTTCATAGTTTAAAAGAAACAAAACCAAAATAACCTTGCACATTTTTCTTGAATGTTGCCATGGCTCAAACAACCCAATAGGCTCCTTTGGCATCTTTCCTCAGGAAACAGTTCCATTTCCCGTCTGAGTTCCTAGGAAAGCGTCTCAGTTTATTCTCCCCCTGCAGTGAAGGTTGGAGGAAGAAAAGGCAGCTGGCTACCTTGACCCCCACGTGCTGCAGAGATAAAGCGCTCGCTCACTCTCTCTCTCTCTCTCTCTCTCTCTCTCTCTCTCTCTCTCTCTCTCTCTAAGAGAGACCCTGGCAGCCTCCCTCGGCTTGTTGGCTGTTGGATGTTTGTGAATAAACTTGCTGCGTCGACATTGATCACCCTCCTTAAAAAACATCCTGTTAGGATCTCAGTTCACATACAACCTACTTGTGGTTACAGAGGAGTGTCATCAGCCACGGCCACACTGCCGGGGAACAAGTCTGTCATGCTTTAGAACAGGCGGCAGGACATGGCTCACTTCAGCCTCTAGATGGCGCCCACTTGTGGCCGCTGTTCCTCCAGGGACACACACCCCTGCTGCCGTGTGTTACCTCTGTCACAGGCTTGACTATGGCTCTTCCAGCTTTTCCTTCCCTCTCCGCAAGGGGGCTCTGTATGAGACGAGACCAGGGTCCAAAGACAAGGCCAAAGGGCCTGGCTCTGTAAACAATTCATGTGCTTCATGAGCAGGTAGTTTTCTAAGTGACGCGAAGTCACAAACTTCTCTTTCAAGGGTTAACTTTGTGTAGTGGCCCCTCCCTGTATGGGGATGACCTGGGGTCTGACATTCTGTGGATTCATTCAATAGTCAGGACACGTACTAGGGTGTCCTTGAGCACAGCCTACAAGGACACAGACAGGTGCGTGTCCAGGCACCGGCAGTGACAAGCACCATAAACTTGATTGAGATTAGCATCTCAATCAACGTTTTTAAATAATAGCACTTATTCCTCCCAGAAGCCCGTCGAAGGGGACTCTGAGGCGGGCCAGGGGGTCTTGGAGCTTAGATGTGGGATCCCCACCTAATCTCTGCCCAACCTCTGGCTGCTGCATGCCTGCCCAGTTACTACTCCGCATGCATGCATAGTAAGCATGACAGAAATGCTGCCTATTACTGTATTATCGCCCCACTTTATAGAGGAGGAAACGGAAGCTCAGAGAAGTTAAGCAGCTTGACCAAGTTTACACAGCCAGCAAGGGGCAGAGCAGAGATTCAAACACAAGTCGTCATAACCCCACCATGTCAGACCGACCCATGTCTCCATCATTCAGTCCGGCCCCATCAGGCCAGTGAGCCCACACCTGTCCTGTGAAGGGCCAGCCTTCCAGGGGCCTGGCTGGTATTTCTACTCCAAATCTCTAGTTTCCACTGGTGACTGCCTTGCCTTCGTTTGGACCAGGAACACTTTCTAAGACAGTCCGACAGTTGGGGTCCCAGGACCAGAAGCATCAGCATTACCCGGGAACCGGTCAGGAATGAAAACTGTTGGTCCTCCCCCCAGACCTGCTGAACCAGCTCTGGGGTGGGGCCCTCCAGTGATGCCGATAGACGCTGAAGTTTGGGAACACGTACGGTAAACCACATGTCTCATAAAACTGAGCCACTAGCTTAAGTCCAGTAAACAACTGCTTGAGCATGCTCCTGGTGGTGCAGAGAGGAAAGCACCAGGAATTTAGCCAGGAAGGGAAGGAAATGAACATGGAAGAGTGATCTTCCCAGAAGCCAAAAAAAAAGGAAAGGGAGAATGGGGGGTTGGAGAGAGGGGATTCTAGTTTAAATGATAGCTTTTAAAAGTCTGTGTGGCTTTTAACACAGCTGCAGGGGCTTCCAATGGAAGAGTTCTGGGGTGGGCTCAGCTGCACCTCTACTGCCAAAGTTGTGTAGGGAGTCCCACTGTTCTGCCAAGAATGCCCTGGCCTGTTAGACTCGGCACTGGGGGCCTCCCAGGGGGCTGCTGTCAGATGTGGGCATCCCAAGGAGTATAATACTGTTTATAATTCTGCAATGAAAAACAACCCCCTTGGTCTGTCCCTCCCTCTGGCTGGCTGTTGGGGGTTTGTGGGTGACTTTGCGGGTGACTTTGCTGACTCCTCATGAGCCCTCTGTGTTCTCAACCCACTGCTGAGCCCTGCCATCCCACATGCACCAAACCAGACTGTGCCTCCATGCCTCTGCCCCGGTTTCTGCCAGAGTTCCGCATCCATTCTGCATGCTGGTTCTGAGCATTGCACACATGCCATCTGGAGAGGGATATACAGATACATACACATATGGACATATACATTCATACGTATATGTACACACTATATGCGACTATTGCATATGCAATATTTGAGACACTAAAAATAATTTATCTGAAATTCAAATTTAACTGAGTGCCTATATTTTAGGAGAGTCAAAGACAGGCCTACTTCCTGAGGTCCTTCCCTCCTCGGGACCCCCTCCAAATGCAGGCATGAGTCCCCAAGGATGCGCTCAGCCAGCAGGGAGCTCTCGCCAGCCTCCTCTTCCTACCAACTCCCAGCTATTACAGGCCTGGCTCTGATCAGTGACCATGCGACCTGATGCCAAGAGAGCTGTGGGGGACCCTCCCGGGGCTCCTGCTGCATGGCCTGTCTCACCCACAGTCTCTTTCTCCGTATCCCCCTCTTGAGGTCCTGAGCAGGGAAAGTGAGTTTTGAAGGAACAGTGTGTCAGGCACAGCCATCTGCAGGAAACTGCTCGCACCCTGAACTTTCTATTTTCCTGTGCAACTGGGCTTTTCCCCAGCTAAGAAATAGAGAAGCAGTTGTCAAAGGGCACAATGGGTGCCTCCCCTGAAACTTTCTCACTCATCAAAGGCCCCCAGTAGCACAGAAACTGCACATCAAAAGAGAGACAGGAAGCCCTAGCCAGTGAGGCTCAGTGGGTTGGAGCATTGTCTGGGAGACGGAACGTCTTCAGTTTGACCCTCGGTAGGGGTACCTACGAGAAGGCAAACAATCAATGTTTCTCATTCACATCAATTTTTTTTTCTCTCTCTCCCTCCCTCCCTCCCCCTTCCTCTCTTTTTAAAAACAATGAAAAAAAAATTGTCCTTGGGTGAAGATAAAAAGAATTTTTTTTAAAGAGAGGGGAAAATGGTACAGCAGTTTCTCAAAAAAAAAAAAGAAAGAAAGAAAAGAAAAAAAAGAAACATAGAGCTACCATGTGATCTAGAAAATTTCTTTTCTGAGTATGTACCCCAGGGAGTTGGGAACAGGGACTCGAGGAGACACTTGCCCACCCACGTTCACAGCAGCGCTACTCACAATAGCCAAAAGGAGGAAGCAACCCTAGCGTCCGTGGACAGATGAGCAGGTACACAAATGTAGTCTGTCATATAACGGAATGTTATTCAGCCTTAACAAGGAAGGCAAGCACTGGTCAAGTAGCTCAGTTGGCTGGAGCATTGTCCCTTACACCAAACGGTTTGGGGTTCGATCCCCAGTCAGAGTACGTACGGAAGGCACTGATGTTTCTCTCTTTCTCATTCTCTCTAAAATCAACAGAAAACATGTTTTTGGATGAAGATTTTTTAAAAAGGTAATTCTGACACGTGCTGCAACATGGATGAACCTTGAGGAAATTGTGCTAAGTGAAACGAGCCAGTCAGAGAAGGACAGACACTGTGTGACCCCACTCACACGAGGTCCCTGGGGTAGTCGGATTCACAGAGACAGAAAACAGAACGGAGGTCGCCAGGGGCTGGGGTGAGGGGCGACGGGGGTGTTCGGTGCTTAACGAGCGCAGAGCTCCAGCTTGGGAGGATGGACACGTCCTGGAGACAGATGCTGGGGACGGGTGCACAGCGATGTGAACGCACTCAGTGCCACAGAACCGTGGACTAGAAATGGTTAAGCACACCAAAAGTGAGGTTAGCTGAGATCATCTGACACAGGAAGCACGTGACTTCTGAGTGAGCCGGAAGATGCCTGAATTAACACGTCAGAACCACGTTTCACTAGCACCACAGCACCGGCACCACAGCACCGGCGGCGGCATCACAGCCAGCTTTCACCTGTCAAGGTGGCTGGACCCCTGGCCGCCCTCTCCTTCCCCATCGCTGTCACTCCATTCAGCAAGTGGCGGGTAAGGTCATACTATTTACCTTCCTCCTGGCAGAGCGGGAAGGGTTTGGGATGGAGTGTCAAGGCCTGAGTTTCAATGCCTTGCCCTCTCTGGGCCTCAGTTTCCCCCAGGTGGGCATGGTGGGGGTGGGAGGGAGCTGGAAATTCCAGAGCTCCTTCTGACTGGATGTTTGGCTGTTCCCAGTCCCCAGCGTGTGCAGCTCCTGTCTGCTCTCTCTCAGTGCATGGGCCTTGCTTTTGTGGTGGTTTCCTGTTTTTGTCTTCTTGCTTCCTCTCCTGCCCTGTTATCGAGGTGACAGATGTCAAAGTGTGTGGCTGCCATTTTGTCCAGGTGCCCACGTGCACATGACCTAGGCCATCTGAGCTGGGTCGTGCATATCAGCTGGGCCAGAGCTGAGGCATAGGGGAAGGGACAGTCCCCTCCCTCTGCGGCTTGCATCTGGGGTTCATGCTGAATCTCACTCAGTGCAATTCCCCCTCCTCAGCTAGAGGGGGACTTCCCACACATTCCCACGGAGCTTCCTCTTCTTTGTGGACATGTAGGAATTTCTCTGTTCCCTTGGTGTTCTTTTTGTAAAATTTAATGTGTAGCACCTAATATACACACATGTAACAGACATGTACATTACATACAGCATGATAATATGGACAGTCCTGAACCCACCACTCGACACAAAAATGATTCCTAAGTCTTGCATCTACCTGTGTGTTTTACTTCCCACCCAGATGTAACCACCCTCCTGAATTTGGGGGTTATTGTTCTCTTGATTTTTTGTGCTTTATCACAAATGCAGATGTGCGTGTGTGTGTGTGTGTGTGTGTGTGTGTGAAGCAGTTACATAACATTTACTGTGTGCTAGGCATGCTTTAAATACTTAAAAATATTAACTTACCCTGACTGGTGTGGCTCAGTGGGTTAAGGGTCATACAGCAAACCAAAATGTGACTGGTTTGATTCCTGGTCAGGGCACATGCCTGGGTTGCAGGCCGGGTCCTTGGTTGGGTGCGTGACAGAGGGAACCGATCCATGTTTCTCTGTCTCCCTTTCTCCCTCCCTTCCTCTCTTTCTGAAAAATATATAAAATCTTTAAATAAAATATTAACTCACTGTGTTTAATCCATTCAACAGCCCTATGAGGAAGGTACTATTATTAATCCTATTTTATAGAAGCGGACACTGATAAGTGACTTGATTGAAGTCACACAGATAGATAGCAAGAGGTCAGCATGGGACCTGTCTCCTGGTTCTTAGAGCAAAAGTTTCTCTAGGGCATGTATCTGGGAGTGGAATTGTGGGTGACGGGGAGTGAGAATATTCAGCTTTACAAGGTGATACCTTGTAATTTCCCAGAAGACTAATACACCCTCTCACCGGCAACTGTAAATGTTTCTATTGCCCTGTAACTCTCCAACATTTGGGTCTTGTTAGATTCTTTAGCTTTTGCCTAGCTGGTAGATACAAAATGGTATCCACTGTGGTTTTAATTTAAAATTTTCTGGATATTATTGAGTGAAAGCTTTTTTTTATTTGTTTATGCTTATTTCCTTTTCTTTGAAGTGCTCATATATATCTTTAATGTAATCAAAGTCAACAGGTGTTTATTTTATGATGAGTGTTTTGGAATCTCACTTGAAAAATCCTTCCCTGCCCAGAAGACATAAAAATATTCTACTACATTGCTTTATAAAAGTTTTTAACGTGGTCTTTCACAAGTCCTGAATCTAGATGGAACTGATTCCTACATTTGATGTAAAGTAGGAATATGTTTCCCTCCCTTTTTCTCCATGTAGTTTTATACAGGGTGTTGCTGGGCTCGTTATTTTCTTCTGGTTGATTTGTCTACATCTGCACTAATGCTGTGTTCATTTGCCTACCTCTACACTAATACTGTGTTTTATAATACGTCTGAATATCTAATAGAGCAAGTCCCCTTACCTTAATGTTGTTTAGCAGTATTTTGGTCCTTTCACTCTTCCATGTGAGTTTTAAAAATCAGCTTTCAATTTTCATGAAAAATTGAGATTAATTGCAGTTGCACTGCATCTGTGTGTGATTCAGGGGAGGATTGATATCTTTATGGTACTGAACCTGCCATTCATGTACACGGGCTATCTCTCCATTTATTTAGATTGTATCTAATGTCTTTCAATGAGGTTTCATGACTTGTTACTATAGGTCATATATGTGTTTTGCTAGATTATTCCTATTTTTCCTATTATAAATGATTTTTCAGATTATGTATTTTCTCTTCTTAAATCTGTTCACATAAGTCTTTAGTCTGAGCTCCTTCAAAAGCAGAGCCTGGAGCCAGGAGGAAGGTTCAGGTAGGTCCTGGAGAAGTGATTCCGGGAAGCAGGGCGTGAAGGAGCAGGGAGGCTGCAACAGGGAAAGAGGAAAAGCCATGTTAAGGGTGTGTGACTGATGATGCGCTATAGGGAGGGAGCTCAGTTCCGCTGGGACCTCTCACAAGCCTAGAAGCGGCCGCCCACAATGGTCCGTGGGAAGAAGGAAGCGGAGCCTCCACCCGCTCCCGCCCCTCCCGGGCGTAGGGTTACAAGTTGCGGAACTGCATTTTCCCACAGGATAAGTGGCTCCTTCAGTGCACTGAAGAGGCAAAAAGCAAAAAGCAACACGGTATAAACTTGAGGTGGGACATTGGCAACATAAGGTGAGTCTAGGCTCGCGTGTCACTATCCGCCGTGGCTGCAGCTGCTGTCAGAAGAGAGCAGAAGTGACGTGACGCAGAGCCCTCAAGTTTACTCTTACCAACGTAGTAAACGCTCTGTGAACGCTTTTTTCTACCGTTAAACCAACTTGGCGTGCCCAAGATAAGCTGCGCTTCGATGTGCTGTCTCTTATGTTTATACATTACTAGATTTGGGTTGCTAGTATTTTTTCTAATCCTTGCATCTGTATTTGTGAGTGAGATTGGCTTCTAATGTGCCTTTCTCATTCCGTACTTGCCTGGTTTTCCGGTGAAGGTTATACTGGCCTCACAGGGTTAGAGGGTGTTCCTGATTTTCCCATTTTCAGAAAGAGGCTGTATAAAATTAGAATTCTCTCTATTTAAACTTCTATAAAACTATCTGGACCAGGTGTTTGCTTTGTGGGAAGTTTTAAAATTACTGATTCAATTTTTTAATAGTTATAGAATCATTTGGGCGTTTCGTTTCTTAAATCAAGTTTCGTTATACTTGTCTAATTGGTGTACTTTGCTTCCATTTTCTTGGCACAAATTATGTATAGTCATTTTTATTTTTAACTGTGATAAAGTACACATAACGCAAGATGTTCCCTCTTAACCATGTTTTGTCTGCTTCGTTAATCACAGTTGAGAGATATGTATTAAAATGTCTTGCTGTGATGGTGGTTTTATCTCTTTGTAGTTTTTTCAAGATAGATCCTTACAAGTTTAGAACTATTAAAACTTCCTGGTGACTTTCCCCTTTAATTTAGGTACTCACTCTATCCCTAATAAGTATTTTTGTCCTAAAAGTCCTCTTTGCCTGATAGCAAAAGTTGCTTGTGGTAAGTGCCAACGGTTGTTTTGCGGCCAATCTCTGGAGTTTTCTTATACAAAACGGAAACTCTGCCCATGAAACAATTCCTCACTCCCCCCCCCCCTCCCCCTGCAGCAGCGCTCAGCAACTTCTGGCCTACTTTCCCTCTCCGTGAATGCGTAAGGTCGTCTTTTTAATGTTCCTATTTCCATTCCTAATAATGTCCACTGGTGCTTTCTTGTGTTTCTGAGTAGATTTTACCAGAGATTTGCCCATTTTGTTTTTTCGAGGACTAACTTTTTTTGAGGATCCTGCCTCTTTTATTTTCTATGTTACTGATTTCTGCTCAAGAGTATTCTCTTTGAGTTCACTTTCGGGTTTCCTTCGTTCTGTTTACTTTGGTTTCTTCTCTTCATTCCCTCTTGTGTCACTTTTGTGTTCCCTTTGTTTTTCTTTTCTGACTTCCTGACCGCTCACTTACACTGGATGCTTATTTCAGACTCGTTTCTAATACAAGCACTTAAGCCTATAAATTTCCCTCTCAGTCTCATGCTGGATGCATCCCATACATTTTAATACATTGTTTTTTTTTCCATTACCATTCAGTTCAAGAGATCTTAAAGTGTGTTATTTCTATTTTTTTCTTTGACCCATGGGTTGCTTAGAGCCTATTTTTATATTACCAAATATATAGAATTTTAAAACTTATGTTTAAAAAAGACTTGTGTTTTCTAATTTATAGGCACATATCAAGCTTTTAAACTGTGTGTTTCAGCTCTTCTATTCATTTTCTGATTTTTTTGGCCTGCTTCATTATTCATAGTTGAAGGAAGTGTGCTAAGATTCCTTGCTATGATGGTGGTTTCTTTTTCTTTATGGGTTTTCTCTCTTTGAAGCTAGACGCCTCCACGTTTAGAACTACTATAATTTCCTGGTGAATTGACCTTTTCATTCAGGCACTTGCGCTATTCCTAATGGGCATTTTTATCTTACAAGTCCTCTGAGTCCGATATCCATAGAGCTTTCCTGGCTTCCTTCCACCCCTGACCTTCACCCCTTCCTTGCTCGTGTGCTGGGTGTGTCTCCTAAACGGCACAGAACTGGGTTTTGGGCTTTAATATTTTTAAAATCTAAACTGAGATGAACAATTAAGAATGATCAAGTCCATGACTTTCACTAAACCCTGCTAACAAAAAATTGACTTGAAAAGCCTGCTTTTCAGCATCAATCCAGAGCTGGCAAGAACCCTAACCCAGAAGATTCTCTTTTGAATAGTGTTTGAACTACAACAAAGATTAAACGTTTGTAACGTGAAAGGTTTTCTTAGGCTCCACTGGGGAATAAATGCTAATCAGCCACAAAATTAGGCCGTATAGAGCTTTATTGGGGTTTGTGCGCCCAGGTGACGTTTCTCGGTCTGCATGGTGGGGCCAAGAAAAGCCCCGAGCAGACAGGGAATATGGCGGGGTTTATTCCAGCTGGCCCTCTTCGTGGGAGCTGGGGATTGGTCCCCTCCAAACAAAGTGGCAACATATCATTGGTGGTTCTCCTCGCGCCCTGGTCAGCCGTCTCTTCCGGGTTGTAGTTCAGACGTCATATTTGTTTTGGCCGCCATGTTTGTTTGTAGTTCAGCTGCCTTTTTGTCCTGCCCCGCCCATCCTGACATAGCGGACTTTGTTTTTTTAGAGCCGTTTTAGATTCACAACAAAATCGAGGGAAAGGTACAGAGATCTCCCATATATTCCGCCCCCGCCCCACCCCCATTTATACAGCCTCCCCATCGGCAGCATTCCCCAGCAGAGCGGTACATTTGTTGCTTTCAGTGAACCTACCCTGGCATGTCACTGTCACCCAAAGTCCATAGTTGACATCCGTGTTCACTCTCGGTGTTGTACGTTCTGTGGGTTTGGACAAATTGTATCATGACATGTACCCACCACTCAAGTAGCAAACAGAGTAGTTTCACTGCCCAGAAAACCCTGTTCCACCTATTTATCCCTCTCCGCCCACCCCAACCCCTGGCAACGCTGACCAGCCAGCCACCCAGGCTTCATCTGCACCCTCTCGCCTGCTGGCTCTGTGACACGGGCACACTAGTAGCCCGCCCGAGCCTCTGTTCTCTCATATGCACAACCAGAATGGCTCTCTTTTTGTAGTTTGTTGTGATAATTAAATAGCATGATGCATTAAAACCTTTAGCTTAGTCCCTAGCAAAGAATAGATAACAGCTAAATGCTAGTTCCCTTTTTCCTTCCTCCTTCTCTTAGTAACTTGAAGCCACACTTTGCAGAGAAGAGGTACAGAAAAGGACCCTGCTGACAGCGTACATCGCCAGAAATCTAAACACGAGAGGAGGGAAAAAGAAGGGGGAGAGCTTCCAGCGGCCACCTCCCAAACTCTTTTTCCAACTTGGAAAATCCCTCCCTTCCTGCTGTCTCTCAGGAGCATTACAGTCCACACGTATCCATTTTCTGAGTCCAACTCCTTAACCTGCGTCTGATAAATACCCAGACGCACCCTTTGTCCTCGAAGGGAAAGTCAGATGATTTAGCACCGAGCGGTGTGTACGAGACAGCAGGGAGCTGGGGCATCAGAGAGGATGAAGGGCCAGGTCATGCCCGTTTGCTAGTCACATGGAATCCTGGGGTTTCCGAGGGAACCGGCCTGAACCACAGGATTCGTCAGGACCACAGGTCCAAGCTGTGTTCCTCTCCTCCTGGCAGCTCCGTTGAGGCTGACGTGTGCATATGAGGCTTTGTCTTTTGCGTTAAAGGCAGACGTCAGACGGTCACAGATTAACACGGGGCAAGGATTAAAAATAATTACACAACCTCTGTCTTTTAACTGCAGCTAAAATTTTTATCTTTATTATGATGATTAACAAATTTGGACTTCTTGATAAATCTTTTTTAAAATTTACATTTGTCCCACTTTTACTATGCTTTATCCTCACTTAATATTTTGATTGGTGGAAGGTTGTTTGTTTTGATACCATTTTAATCCCTTCCCGTGGTTTAGGGCTTATAAACTCTCTCTCTCTCTCTCTCTCTCTCTCTCTCTGTCTGTCTCTAATTTTCCTTGAAATTTTACCATGCTCTTACGACTTCAAGTGCACCCTCCTTTCTATGCCATACGGGAGTCTAGAATGCTTTAACTGCAGTCCCCTCACATATTATTGCCCAGTATTTAAGTTTTGAACTTGTAAGAACTTCTCAAATAAACATTATTGCAGATGCTGATTGTCAGGAGTCACATACTCACTTGCCATTTTGCTTCTTCATTCTTCCTTCTTGCACAGAAAAGTGTCCTGTGGCCATTTTGAACCCTGTCTGACACCTGTCTTTAAAGGTCCTTTAGGGTAGGCATCTTGAGAATAAGCTCGCTCGATCTCTGTTTATCAGTATCTTCATTTCACGTTGGTCCTGAAACCGGAAAAGCTGGTGTTCTGCTGCCTGTCACCTACCAGACCCAACAAGCAGAGGCAGGGATTGAATCTCTATGGGTGCTTTATTCAGATGGCCGGCGATCTGAGAAGACGGCGGGTTTGTACCCTAACAGTCTGTCTGATGTTTCCTTTCAAGCCACCCTTTTTTTTCTTTTTATTGTTGTTCCAGTATAGTTGTCTCCATTTTCCCACCACCACTTTCCCCCGCCCCACCGACCCCCACCTCCCACCCTCAGTCCTACCTGCCCTTGGCTTTGTCCGTGTCCTCTATAGATGTTCCTTGATGACCCTTCCCCTTCTTTCCCCTGTTATCCCCCTACTCCCTCCCCTCTGGTTACTGTCAGTTTGTTCTTTATTGCAGTGTCTCTGGTTCTACTTTGCTTGCTTGTTTGTTTTTTATTTAGGTTCTACTTATAGGTGAGATCATATGGTATTTGTCTTTCACCGCCTGGCTTATTTCACTTAGCATAATTCTCTCCAGTTCCATCCATGCTAACACTAAGGGTAGGAGCTCATTTTTTCTGCTGCATAGTATTCCACTGAGTAAATGTACCAGTTTTTTGATCCACTCATTTATTTATTTTTATTTTTTATTTATTTTTTTTAAAGAAGGTAATGTTTGGGATTTTTGGGGGGTTTTTATTTATTTATTTTTAGAGAGGGAAGGGAGGGAGAAAGAGAGAGATAAACATCAATGTGCAGTTGCTGGGGGCTGTGGCCTGCAACCCAGGCATGTGCCCTGACTGGGAATCGAACCTGCGATGCTTTGATTTGCAGCCCGTGCTCAATTCACTGAGCTACGCCAGCCAGGGCTGATCTACTCATTTATTTTTGGGCACTTAGGTTGCTTCCAGCACTTGCCTATTGTAAATTGTGCTGCTGTGAACATTGGGGTGCATAGGTTCTTTTAAATCAGTGAAAATCTCAGATATTCCACACAGCAATATTTTTACCATTATGTCCCCTAGAGTTAGGACATAAAGGAAAGAATAAACAAATGAGACTCCATCAAAATAAAAATCTTCTGCACAGCTAAAGAGGGAACCAGTTGTATGGGAAAATATATTTGCCAATAATGCCTTGGACAAGGGTTTGATCTCTAAAATATATAAAAAACTCATGTGACTCAACTCTAGGAAGACAAACAACCCAGTTTAAAAATGGGCAAAGGACCTGAACAGACACGTCTCCAAAGAGGACATACAGAGGGCCCAGAGACACAGGGAAGGATGCTCAGCATCACTAGCCATCAGAGAGATGCAAATTAAAATGACAATGAGATACCACTTCACACTGGTCTGAATGGCCATCATAAACAAATCAACAAACAAGTATTGGAGAGGATGTGGAGAAAAGGGAACCCTAGTGCACTGTGAGTGGGAATGCAGACTGGTGCAGCCACTGCGGGAAACAGCATGGAATGTCCTCAAAAAACTAAAAATGGAATCAGGCCAGACTCTTTTTTAAGGGGGCAAAAGTATAGGTAAGGAGTCTGGAGTTCAAGGGAAAAAGATGTAGGTAAGGGATTTGGAATTTGGGAAAGAGGTTAATAAACACTGCAGCCTGGCAATTTCCCCAACATCCTTTCATCCGCTGACCAGTCCTTTTCTTTGTCTGGGTCCTGGGTCCTGGGTCCTGGGTGATTTTCTTTATCTGTGTCCTGGGTGCCAGACTCTCTCTCCCTGGAACACAGTGGCTTGGATGCCACCTTGATATCTTGTGGTCTCTTCTGGGGCACAAAGGTCAATGGCTTGTGGTCTCCTGGAGTCAGGGGAAGCCGTACCTGCAGTTCCTGAAACAACAACTTTTTACATACATTAACTACTAGGCTTATTAACTATTATCTGAAACTAAAGTCTTCTGACTCTTGAGTTTCCCCACTGGTCCTTGAAAGATGGTTTTGCCAAGAGCACAGTTCTAGTCTGAAAGTTATTTTCTTTCAACAGGAATAGAAGTGATAGAGAGAAGTCCCTGGATTAAGACCCAGTCAGCCCTGTGGAAGAGATGAGTTCACTTCCTAAACTGAGGCTCCAACCCCCCCCTCCCCTCCAGTTCTCGGGTGTCTTCCAGAACCCACCATGCCCTCCAGTGCCCACTACTGCTCTCCTGTACACGTGGCTCGGTTCTAAGTCATCTGGCTTCCGGACCCACTAAAGGATAACAGTGCTTCTGTGTATTTGAGACGCAGGATGAAGGAGTTTAGACTCAGAAAACGGACTGTGTGGGCTGTAACATTCCTGACAGCTGGAAGGGAGGGATTTTCCAAGGAGGAAAGAGGGTCTGGGAGGCGGTAGCTAGAAGTTCTTCGTCTTCCTCTCCCCTCCCCTCCCCTGCTTTTGTCCCTTCCCCCGAGGAGCTCAGAGCCCTAAAGAATAAGGCGGGGAGTACGTGAGGGGGAAACAGCGGTCTGGGAAGGAAGACCTGAGTTTCTTCTCTCTTCCACACAAAGGTCGATTTCCTCCATCTCCAGGCAACTCCTTAGCAACAGGAAGCTTTGCTCTTTCTCCTTCGTTTGGAAGCATTGATCATGGCATCCTAGGGCCTGGTCATCAGCCCCCAAATCCTCTCCATTCTCTCTCCCAGAAGGCCTCCTGGCCTCACGCAAGTAGACACCTCCACCCGCCACCTCACCTTCCCTTCCCGCCCAGAAAGTTCTGTGAGGCAGAACATGCCTTGGAGTTACTCCCCTACACAATGACCTGCACCAGCCCTGACCCCCATGGGCAGGTTTGAAGGGCCAGAACTGCCCACCGACGTCCAGCCTGAAAAACTCTTTCGTTTCTGCATCACAGAACCAACACCAGCCGCTCAACCCAGCCCTCCACCCTCTACCGTCCACCCTGCCACACCCCCAGGCAGCACGTTACCTGTGACGGTTCCGGTTCACCTTCTATCCGCCACTGAGCCGTCTTTCTGTCAGCTCCTGCACTCACAGGTACGTGAGCACAGACAGCTGGTGACGCATGAGCACCTGCTGTTAGGACCAGAAAGGGAGTGTTTGTTCCTACCAGCTCTGTTTCAGAAAGTCTCAGGAAAAACCCTGCCCCGTCCCGCAACTCCTAATACCCTCTTCGGAGACTCAGGGTCCTCGGTTGTCTGCTTATGCGATCAGCCCAGCTGTAGCTGGGGGGCAGCTGAGGCATCAGCAGAAGGAGAAAGATATGCTGGGTGGACCCAGAAGCAAGGTTGGGGGGGGGTTGTTTACCAAAACTACTGTCTTGTATTCATTTGCTAATCCACCCATCCATCCATCCATCTACTGACTGAACAGTAATTAAGTGCCCACTGTGTGCCAGGCGGTGTCCTTTCCTGCTGGAGAGAGCAGTGCATGTGATCCAGCCTCCACCCTCTTGGGTGGACAGGTAAGTAGGAACTCGGGGGAGACTGACGTGGAAGCTACCGGACTGCGGCCCACAGGTCTCACAGCGCCACGTTCACATGCCCGGTGTGCAGGAAAAGGGAGGCCTGCCCAGGGGCGTGGGGGAGAGATCAGAGGGTGAGTTGAGGGGGCAAAGCAGGCCTGATGGGCTCAGGGCAGGACCTGTGGGCCGCAGCAGCCTCACCAGGGCCCACGGGTGTGGAGTCAGGCCGGCCCAGCTGCGCGTGCAGCCCGGGGTTCACAGGCACTGTCCCTGCCGGAAACTGCAGACGGGACCCAACCCGCCTCTCCCAAAGCTCTCACGGCAGGGAAGGCCCCAGCAGCTTCCCTGGCCTCCTGTTGCCTTGATTTCCCTCCCAAGGTGCCATTGGGGATCACACCCCTGAGAATCCTTCTCTCGCCCCCGCTCTGCTGGGTGTCGGCGGTCTCCAGGCTGCCTCTCGCTCATTACGTTCGCTCGCTCACTCCTAAGTGTGTGACTTTGGGCAAACCACTTAAACTGCCCTGTGACTCAGTTTCCCCATCCATAGATGGGGACATAACAGTACCTACCTCGTAGAGTTGGGGGATTTAATTAGTTCATACTCACAGAGTGCTTGTGACCTGTAGTCAGTAAGTGTTCACTGTTGTAATATCGTTGTTATTATTTCTGTAGCTATTGTTTATTATTATTATTAATATTATTATTATTATTATTACTGTTGTTATCATTCAGGCTGGGTGGAGGCCACAGAGTTGCCGCACAGCAGGGCCACTGCCTGGCCCCCAGGCTGCCTCTCGGCCTCCCGCTTGGACGGGAGGAGGTTTCCTGCAGCCGCAGGTGGGCTCAGACCCCTGCTCTGGGGCTTGGTTCCTCTCGCCTCCATCCTCTTTCTCTCTGTGCCCTTCCGAGGCCCAGCAGCCCGTCCCAGGCTTCCTGGGTCCCTGTTGACAAGGGCGGCCCTTGCTGACTGCACAATGGTGACAGCCTCTGGCCTCCGCAGCCCAGGGAAGGCCATGACCTCACCCCACCCTCCCAACCCAGCAGCGAGGTTTGGGCTGAGCCCTGACAATGCTGGGGCACCCCTTTGGAAAGGCCGCAGCTGGGGCGCCTCCGAGGCCAGCGGGCCCCGGGGCCTCCGAGCCAGAACCAGGGCAACAGAAGGTTGGGTGCGTCAGAAGCAAAAGCCTCCCGGCCAGACCCACCCCATGCACAGAATCCCCCTCTCGCCTGCTCTTGCGTGTGAGGACCCTGCCCTTGGTGACAGAGCCTCCGGGAAGCACACTGCAGCTTGTCAGCCTGCCTGGAGCGGGAGGGGTCACCCCATCAGCCCAGTTCGAAAACCGGAGACTGAGGATTTGGGCTGCAGCCAGCCTGACCCGCGTTACCTCTGTGTGTGGGGACTATCGTGGGAGCTGCTCCCGAGGCTCTGGGCCTCAGTGTCCCTGTGTCAGCTGAGTCACCGACAGGTTGACAAGGAAAGCTGAGCGATGTGTTCATATTTAAGAGACGTGTGCTCGGCTGTTAGCTGGAGCCGCTCCAATTCCCACCCACGTTTCCCTAGAAAATCCCAGCTCTTTATCTGCTCTGCTATGGTGACTCTGTGTCCTGGACAGGTCCTGACTTCAGATATTTTCTTTCCAGAGGGGGCCTCAGCAATGTGTTCTGTGAGATTTGGAGTTCCCAGATCTGGGACTTGCAGTCATTCCTGTCTCCTGCACCCACACAGTGCACTAGAATCCTGTGTGCATGCATGTCATTCACACGCATGCACATGCTTGTCAACACATGGGCACTCTTCAGCGCCCTGACCTCACAGGAGCATGGCCGAGGGTCAGGTTATGCCCCCGCTTATCAGCAGCATCCAGCTTCCTCTGCCTGGGTTCTCCCAAGCCCGGATCCGGGGCCCGCCTTCCACGCGGCTTCCCGAGGGCCACCCAGATAATAAGAGGAAATGCAGTCACCCGCTCACAAAGGGCTGGAGGTATAAGCGCTTCGACTTTAGGCCACCACTCCTTAGCTTGCATCCTCTGTCTCCGCAGTCTGCCGGCTGTTCTCTGCGCTGAGATGTCTCCTTCTGGCTGCTGGGGCCTGTCTGTGGCCCTTCTGGCCCTGCTCTTCTGCCCAGGTGAGCCAGCGCCTGGGGTTCCTGGCTTGGCACAGGCTGGGCCTGAGGGTGGGCTGCCTGCTCTCCTGGCTTTAGATTGCGGGGTGGGGCTGGCCCTGAAGTCTCTGTGGTTTTGAACACAGTGGTGGGCCACGGTGGGTACAGGATGCCGTGGCAACCTGGTTTCTGTACGGCCTAGGCATCCCGTGGGCATCCTGGCCTCCTGGGTCCCGGGTGGAACAGCCCCACAGCTTCACGGCATCTGGGCGTGGCAGGTCATGGAGGCCCATTGGTGGGCTGGGGCAGGGCTGAAGGAGGTGAAGGGAGCTGGGGTTCAAGGGAAGGTAAGGGCATGCCCCAGCTGATCTCCAGATGTGGCCTAGGGGACAAAGGAGGCAGTATAGGACCTTGCCTTCTGGCTATCCTCAGAACGGAAGTACAACCCCTTCTAGTGGGTCAAGGGCACTGAGAGGGAAATTCCTGCCATGTGCCCAGCACTCTGTTTTGGATAACCTGCCAGGTGTTTTTTAAGGGCTATCTCATTGAACCTTCTTTTGGGAAAGGAATTACTAGCCCATTTTACAGATGAGGAAACTGAGGTTCACAGAGAGAAAACACCTTTTCTAAGGTCACATAGCTGGTGCATGGTGAACTCAAGATTCAAATCCAGCTCTGCCTTCCTGCAAAGCCCCTCTGTTGCCACTTCTTTACACAGCAGGGTCTGAGGGCTGAGTCGGGGCATGGGGGCGTGGCACTAGCACAGCACAGAGGCTGGGCCTGGCCGGTCAGATCGAGGACCTTCCTGGTTGTTGCCGAGGGAGACATGAGTGCTGAAGACTCAACCTTCACGCATCAAATACTTCCTGAGTCTGTCACACACAGGGCACTGCACTAGGCACAATGGTAAACAGGGTCCTGCCTTCTAGAAGCTCGAAAATGGCTAAGGGGGAGTCAACACGAATATGAATCACTGGTGCAGTGGGTCATAGGCCAGGCAGCTCCATCTCCTTGGTGACCTCCTCTTCCCCTGCCTCTGTTCTCACTGAGCTCGAACACCCTGGACACCTCACTGTTCCTCCAGCACGCCGAGCACACCCCTGACCCAGGGCGTTGGGCTGGCAGCCGCCTCTCCCCAGAGCCCTCTGCCCCCCATATCTGCAGGGCTCACCCCCACCTCCCTCGTGTCTTTGCTCAAATGTTGTTACTCCAGTGAGGCCTGCGCTAAAATGGCCACCCCCACCCCCCACTTTCTGTTTCATTTCTCAGGCGCTTGTCACCACCTGATAGGCTGGACATTTGTTTATTATTGTCTGTTTCCTTCACTGGAACATGAGTCCCTGCAGAGGCAGGGTTTGGTCTGCCTTGTTCACTCCCGCAGAGCCCGGAACAGTACCTGGCACACAGCAGGTGCTCAAACAGTATTTGAACAAGACCGGAAGGAGGGAGGGAGGGGTCGAACCCTGAGCCACAGAGACTTAGGACACAGAGTCCACCTCCTTCTCAGAGGGGCCTTCATGGAGGAGGGCACATTAGGGCTGGGCCTGGAAGGTGGAATAGGATCCCTCTCACAGAGACAGAAGATGTGCACGAGGTGCCTCTATTCTGGAGGTGACGGGCTGGAGGAGGGACAACCAGCGTCAGGGAGACAGCCCAGGGGCTGCCTCCTCGGTCTAGATGCAAGGCCTGGACAAGGGTCAAGGGTCAAGGAGCAGAAGGAGCCCCTTGGTCAGAGTGCCAGTGGTGGGCAGCTCCCCTGGGCGGAGCGACGGGGACATCCACTGCCCGGCGTTTCTGGTCCTCCAGGGTCCGCCGAGGAGTTCGAAGTGAGGATATACCCAGAGCAGCTGGTGGTGGAGCATGGAGGGTCCAAGGTGATCAACTGCAGCACCACCTGTCCCAAGCCTAATACTGGCGGTATGGAGACCAACCTCAATAAGACTTTGCTGGCCAGAGAAACTCAGTGGATACAGTACGAGGTCTTCGGCGTCTCCCAGAACACGGTCCTGCAGTGCTACTTCACCTGCTCCCAGAAGCAGGTGTCGGCACACGGCAACATCAGCGTGTTTTGTGAGTGCTCCACGCTCCCTTGGCGGGGCCGTCCCTCTCCAGGGCAGACCCCGTGTCTACGGAGTGTTCCTACTCCTGGCCACTCCTGTCACGGCCCCCACCTTCCTGGGCTCCTGAGGCGACAGAGCCAGATGCAGGCCATGAGCTCAGCATCTGCACACACCCTTCGCTGGCCTCCCCGAGCCTCCTGGCAGCCCAGGTTTTGAGGCTTGCTCAGAGGAGGGCGACCCAGGCCAGAGGCACGCAGATCTAAAAGCCGTCTCCTGGCCCGGGGGCAGCCCCTTCACCGGAGCACCCACACCCCATGACGAGCGGCGGTGGCACTGTCAGGAGGGCTGTGTGCTCTCCAGTGTCCCCTTCAGCTCATCGAGTCACCGGGTGCTTTTATCTTCCCCTGAGGGCCCTCAGCAAATGAGGGACCCTCACACACACACCGGTGCATGAGCCGTGGAGACCTCCTGATAGCCCGGGATTCTCTCAACATCTTGGCACTAAGGGTATCGCTTGGGTCCTCCCCGTTACTGACATCAGCGGGTCCAAAGAATAGAAAGATGTCCTGAACCCAGCAGACCATCCTGGGGTGATGGAGGTGGGGTATTCTGGTTCAAAGGGAAATCCAGGCCACGCCAAGGGCTCTGTTTGATGAGGGATGGAGGTGGCTGTGAACCTGACCCTAGAGAACTAAGGCAGGTCTGACTTTGACCTGCACCTCTTAAATGAGAACTTCACAGTTCATGGCCCAGTTCCCGTGATCACCCCCAAGTCTTTCTGCGTATAATTATCCAACTGTTTCATTTTTCAAATTAGTTTTTAATTTCTCGAGAGAAAGTGAGAAGATACAAATATTTCTATCCCTCTGGTTGGCCACACAGTTTCTGGACCCTCTCTTTGTAAGACACCTGACCACCCCCATCCTTATCCATTCCAGAACCATCATGTTTGTGAAGCTACCACCCAGTACACCCTTCACCCTAAACTGCTCCCCCTTCCTCTCTTTACACCGTAGAGCAGGCCGGGCCCCAGCCGACATCCTCCTCCTCAAGTCCAGCCAGGGGCCTGAGAACACAGTGCTGGTGGGGGTGCTCTTGGCCAGGCGGGCCCACTGGGACTACACCCCCATCTAACCAGACCTCCCCGTGGTCTTCCCCGCAGACCCTCCAAAGGAGGTGCTGATGACGGTGCAGCCCATTTGGGTGACTGTAGGCGAGTCCTTCATCATTGAGTGCAGGGTGCCCGCTGTGGCGCCCCTGGAGAAACTCACCCTCACCTTGCTCCGTGGCAATGAGTCCCTGCACCAGCAGACCTTCGAGGGGGCAACAGCCGGCCCGCAAGAAGCCATGACCACGCACAACAGAACGGCCCACAGGGAGGATGGGCGCTACAACTTCTCCTGCCAGGCCGAACTGGACCTGCGGTCTCGTGGTGGGACAGTCATTCACAAAACATCCAAGTCCCAGGGGCTCGAGATCCATGGTAAGGGTAAGCCCCCAGGATAGAGGGAGGGAAGGACAGGGCACTCACTGTAGGTCCCCTTGGGAAATCAGAATCTTAGCCCAGTCTCTGCCAGCTCAGAGGGGTGGGCAACCAAGGACCCCACACCCAGTGCTGAGGGTCCCTCTTATGCTCCTTTCTCCTGGAAGTCCCCAGCTTGGACCTTGAGTGGTGGTTTGGCCACTAGTAAGCTGTGTGACCTTGACCAAGTCAACTTCCTTTCTCTGGCCTTCGCTCCTCTCTACAAGGAAAAGTTTGACCTCGCTGACCCCTAAGGTCTCCTAGAACTTCACTGTTCTGTGACTCTCGATGGCCAAGATGTTCCGTGTTTTCAGAGAATTTGGTGGAAACTCACTCAGCTCTGTCCAGGGAGGCGCTGGCCCAGGCCACACCGCTGTCCAGGCCACAGTGTCCAGAGACCACGTGCTGGTGCCAGGGCTGATGTCGGGGGGCATCTGCCCTCACAGGCTCACTGAGGCCTGGCTGGGGGCCTGGGCCCCAGCTCATTACCTGTCCCCTCGTCAGTGCACCAGTTGCCACTCGTTTCTGTAACACAGGGTGGCGGCAGGATGGACGATGGGGTGGGCGGGCGATGGGTGGACCTCCACTCCCCCTTGGCCCCTGGGCACCTAGGACCAGAGGACTTCTAGGACCACTGCCCCCTTCTTCCCTAGAGCCCAAGCCCGACAAGCAGATGGTCATCATCATCGCGGTTGTGTCAGTGCTGCTGTCGTTGTTTGTGACATCCGTCCTGCTGTGTTTTGCCTTCGGCCAGCAGTGGCACCAGAGGCGAAGAGGCAGTTACGGGGTGCAAGCAGCTTGGAGGAGACTGAGACGGGCCTACCGCGCATAGTCCGCCTGTGGAGCATGGCCTCCGCCATGACAGCCACTGGGATTCACTGTGGCTCCTCAGGGTTGCAGTCCAGCCCTGGCTGAAGGACATTGACAAGCAGCAGAGGACTTTGGGAACATTTTCTCTTCTCATCTGAATACAAACACCTGGACTTAACCCTGTGCCTCGATGTCTCCTCCTGGGAGAACACTCAACTGCCAGGAAGGTCACTCATGAGACCCAGACTTCTGTTCCCAGATGTCTCCTCAGTGTCCCTCCACCCTCTCCTTCCCAGGGGCCTTTCTAGCCAGCCCAGGCCCCAGGGCACTCCCGTGCTGACCTGCCCAGGCACCTGACACCCACCCTCGTTGGGCGCCGAGTAACAAATTTCACCTGAGGGAGCATTGGAGAGATGCACCCCGGCCTGGCGGGGCGGAGGTGCTCTGTCCCCACATGGCCCTCCAGAAACTCAGGCCACTCTCAGCTGGACCGGGACAGGGCCAACAGGAAGCTGGGGCGAGGGTGGGGACCCCAAGGGAACTGGCTCAGCCCCGGGACCCTCCCAGTCAGGACACTCCCACGTCACCCTTGGCCTTCAGAGAGCCGTGAACACGAAAGCAGTCTTCTCGCCACCTGCTCCATTCTCAGCCAGACTGAGACCCCGCAGCCCTGGCCTTCCCAGAGAGGGGGTGGGAATGGAGGGTTAGGGGGGGTTCTGGTTCCCAGCTGCCCCCGAGCCGTAGAGCAGAGTTGGTTTTCCTGTGGCCCCTGGGCCTTGAACGGTGCTCCAGTGAGCTCTTCCCCCAGAGGAGAGATCGGGCTGGTCCAGGATCTGAGCGGGATGGAGACTGACTCCACTGGGAGGGGAGGCCTGGGTGGGGTTGAGGCTGGAGAATGGCTGCCAGGCGTGGCTTCAAGCACTAGAAGGGTGCTTGGGTATCCAGGGTTGTTGCCAGCCAGCGTGGGTCCCTGGGCCAGTGTCTGTCTTCATGGCAGGCTCTCAGCATCATAGTAATCTGGGGGGTTGGGGGGAGAGAGCACCCTTATCTTGACTCTCTCTTGCCTCAGTGGACCCTAAGGAGGGAAGGGGAAGGGGCCAGGCCAGTTGCCTGCTGCAGTGACACTAGTAGTCTCCCCTCAGAGGAATATGACCCTCCTGACCCATCCTCAGGCCTGGACCCCACTGCCTGCCCAGCCTGCCCCTACCTGAAGCCGGAGGCACATCTGCACCCACAGTCCCTGTGGCACTGGGGGGTGGGGGTGGGGGCACAGCTCTCCTAAGATGGAGATGAACAAAATACCCCCATCAGAAGCAGCCTCTGGGGTTTCGTCCACAAGGGTCTCTGCCCCGCCCCCAGCCCCAGCACAGCTCTTCCAGCCCAGCCAAAGAAGGGCCCGGCAGCAGCCAGGCCCTGACCTCACTTACACCCGCCTTTTCCCGGAGGCTGGAGAGAGTTGCTGGATCCTGGATGCATCCTGCAGCTGGGGCTGAGGCTGGGGAGGGGGAAGGAAAGGCCCTGGAGCCGGCATCAGCCAGGGCAGGTAGTGATGATGGAGCACCAAAGGCCCTGCCTCCAGGGCTTCCAGCTCCTCCTCTTCCTCACCCTCCTCTGTCGGACCCTCCAGGTAGACCTGGGCATTGTGTGAAAGCGGAGGGGAGGTGGTGACACAGGCCCAGGCTCTCCCTCCCCCCACTCCTCTGTTCCTGTAAGTCCTTTTTCCGGATACACACCATCCAACAGCTACCTTTGACTGATCTTTACTACCTGCACGCGGGACATTTTGGAGACATGTAACCCTTATTTCACAGGTGGGAAAACAGGCTCAAGGAGGCTGAGCAATTTGTCTTAGGTCACCAGCTAATAAAAGGCTGAGCAGGGACTGGAAGGATGCAGGTGTGGCTCCAGAACTGGGGGACAAACTGTCCCCTGCCTGTCCCAGGCCCCCTTCAGGGCTCTGCCAGCCTGGGTGGCGCACACGGCCCTCACCTCCGGTCACCAAAATCCCAGCTGGCTTTCAAGGGCTGGTTCTAAGGCCACTTGCTCCTCCGAGGAGCGTTGCCTCATCCCCGCCCCCCACACGCACACCAGGTGAGCATGCAGGCAGGGCAGCTCTCCTGCGTCAGCCCTTGTTGTCTCCTTGTTGTCTCGTATTCATGGTCGTTCATTTACTCATTCACTCGTTGTCAACGGGGCCCCCAGTAAGTCCCAGGCACCAGGCAGGTCCAGGGTACAACGGCGCCTGTCTTCCTGGGCCTGCAGTCCAGTGAGGGACACATTGCAGGGACACCTCCTTAAAAACAAGACCTGAGTGGTCTTGATTCAGGGGCCCTACCCCCACCCCATGGAGGCTGATACAGGGCCTGGCATCTAATAGATGCCAGACAGACTCAGTCAGATCGGTGCAGGCTGGCTTCCTGCTGCTTTTTCGCCCGGTCCTTTCTCTCAAGGAGATGCCCCAGGCGTATGCCCAACCTGGACCTGCAGTGGCCCATCCCTGGCCTTTGCACCTGCGGGCCAGAGGCAGCTGGCCAGGGGTTCAGCGCTGCTGCCACCAGGCGACTCAGGAGCAGCTGGTTCATCTGCGCGTTCTGCAGCATCATCAGCTCCAGCAGGTCTAGGGGGCACGGGTTCAGTGGGCGCGCCAGGCACCCCCTCCCCAGCCCGCTGCCGTGACCCCAGGGCCTTTTCCCAGACACCCAGCCCCAGGACGCGTAAGAGGGTGGGGAGGCAGCACCAACACCCAGGCATGTGCGGGGGTAGAGGGGGTACAGGGGGCAGGAGGGAGCCCGGAGTCTCACCTTCCTTCACCCGGCTGGGCTGCGGGGGCGATGGTGGGACTGCCCACGGGAGGGGCTGCAGGACGGGCGCCCAGGGCTGAGGGGAGAGGGGGACTCAGGCAGGCTGAGCGGAGAAGGGACTGGGGGTCCGACCTCCTCCCTCATGCCTCACCCCGTTGCCTCCCTAACCCCGCAGGGTCCTCTCCCTACCCCTCTCAGCCTCCCTCCTCCCTGTCAGTCCCTTCTTCTCCGGCTGGGGTCGCTCTCCTCAGGCCCCACCGCTCCCTCCGGAGTTCGTAACCCCCTCGCCTCCCACCCCCCAGCAGGCACGGCTCCCCAACTCTGCCATCTCCCCCGGGCCTCCTCGGTAAAGGCAGGTTCTGCTCCCTGGCCCAGCTCTCACCGTCAGGGCTGCACCCTGCGGTGGGTGAGCACCCCAGCTCCCTCCAGTCCCAGAGGCCATGGCCAGCTTCCCCGAGTCTGGGTTACCTTGGCGACGCGACACCAAAGCCTCTTCCTGGTTAAGCGCAGGTCCCGCCCCAAGGGCTTGGGCTGCCTGGGGCGCTTGCCCGAAGTTGCTGCTTTGTGCTCCCCTCTCTCCATCTCCTAGGACATGAGGTCCCCAGGACCCCACGCCTAGGAAGCCCGTTTTTCTCTCGGTTGTCCGCCTCCGGCCGCCCCCGCGCCCACTCCCGCCCTTGCACTGGGCCCGGGCATCCGTCTCGATTCCTCGCCGTAAATCCGACCCTCGCGCAGCCCGGGTCCCCGGCCTGGGCGGGGGTGGGAGGGCGGGGGCCTGTGCCTGGTAAGTGAACACAGTGCGGGAGTGGTGGGGAAGCCGGCCCTGGACTCCTCCACTTTGTTTTTACGCCCCCAAGCCCACTGGGCTAAGAAGGTGAGTTAAGCAGGACAGAGAATTCTGTGGGGTCAGGCCAGTGGCGGCGGCCCGGGAGCGAGGAGAGGAGGAGGGCGGAGGATCTGCTGTCTGCCCCTCGGAGTCAGAGGGGAGTCCTTCGGACCGAGGGTGGTTTCTGGAGCAGACGGAGGAAGGAAACACCAACCAAGTTCATAGAAAAGGCTGGGCCCTGGCCAGAAACAGGTGGCTGGCCCCTGACTCCCCGCTACCCCGTCCCCGCTATTTGCTCCTGGGCTGAGGTGAGCCTCTGTGCTGTCCTCAGCGGAGGTGGAGAAGCCCGGGGCGGGGGGGCGGGGCGGGGCGGTCAGCAGCAATGCTCCCTTAATGTCCTTCACCCTGGAAAAAGGACCAAAGCAAGCATTCTTTGGCAAGAAGGTATCAAGGTCTGCTTTGCCTAAGAGCAGGTGAGAGGAGGGATCTATTTCTGTAGCCCAGAGCACCCTCAGATAGGCCCTGCCCAGCGGTCAGGGAACACCGGGACAGGAAGCTGGGATTAGCGGGCCCTGAACTGCCCTTCCCCCACCCTGCACTTCTGTTCGGCAACCCTTCCCGGCAATCCCGGTGTCTAAAATCAGAAAGACGATTTCCACCTCCTCCTCTGAGCCTTGGTCTCTGTCCGAGGGGAGGGAGCCTGTGGGCAGTGCATTAGCTGTCCTGGTGGGTCTCAGGGCTTCGACAGCCACCAACAGAGATGGGGCGCTGTGGTCACAGGCCCCCCCGGGAGTGGGGGGACACGGGTCAGTCTTTCCATCTGTCTCCACCCTCATCCAGGAAGAAAGACAAAACCAGCCCTTGCGCTCCCCGCCATCCACCCTGCCCACGGAAGTGCCTGTGTGTGCAAGGCGCCCTTCTGAGCACTGCGGCACAGCAGTGCAGCCTCACTGGCTCACTGCTGCACTGTGGGGAAGTGAAAACACACCCCCGAAAAGAGAGCAAAAGTACAAGACTGTGCAAAGTCCCCTGTGGGTGAGACACACAGGAGGGATGAGGAGGAAGAGAGGACTCGCTTGGTAAGGGATGAGTTCCCAGGGAGGTGCAGGTCCTCGGGATGGGTGGAGTGGGGTGGCAGGGCCAGGGCGCCCAGGCCGGGGACATGGCCTGGGCAAAGGTGCCAGCGTGGGAGCAGACAGGGCCTTCCATGATCCCGCAGGCCCAACTGTGTGGCTGTGCCGGGGGAGCTGGGCAGAGAGAGGTTCCCGCAGCCCAGGCCGGGGCAGCTCAGACTCAACGGCCTAGCTATGGAATTTAGGGTTCACCGTGTGGGTGTGGGCAACAGAGAGCTCTTGGTGGGCTTGGAGCAAGGGAGAAATAGGGGGCGACATGCACGCAGCCATGTTTTCGGAATATTCATCAGGTTCCTCACATCTTTGTTTGTGTCAGCCCGGATTAGAATGAACAAAAGTCTGATTAGAAAGAACACACGTATCTTCCCAATGGAACACTACTGAGTCATCGATGATTTATCGACAATTTTGATACAGAATGAGTCTCTTGATGTGGAATGATTGAGTTGAGCAAAGCAATCAGTAAGCATAGTAAGATCTTATTTCAGTTTTAAAAGTCACATGTGTATATGTGCATGCGCATGTGTGAACATATGTGGGGGGGAGGGAAAGATGCAGACACAGGGAGGGAGGCAGGAAGAGAGAGAAGCAACTATATAGCTGCCGTCCGGGCTTGCCCACACCCCCGCCTCCCCCGGGCCCCCTGCGATTGGTTCCTGCACTCACTTACAGTCTCTCCACCTGGGGGCATTTTCTGGCCACAGGGAGGAGTCCCAGGAGCACGAAGGGGCAGGAGTTAATGTGAGCTGCCCAGCCTCCTGCCCAGCCTCCTGCCCAGCCTCCTGAGCTCCGTGAAGAAGCGCCAAGCGAGGGTCCTCCCCACAGTCTCTGGGCGGTGCCCATGGCCTTGTGCCTCAGTCATCCCAGTGAACAGCCCGCTCACAACCGCACACTTGGTTGGCTTTTCTCCTCCTCCTGTCACTCCTCCACTCCCCCGCAGTGCTTCCTGGGGTCTCCTTCCAAACAGACTGCATGCTCCCAAGTCCTCAGCTCTGGGGCTGTCTCTGGGGGGATCCCAACAAGCGAGGCCAGCAGCCTCCTCTCTCTCCCTGTCTCTCCCCAGGCTGCTGAAAACTCCTGGCAAAAGCTATTCTGGTAGCTCTAGAACACATTTCCATCGGGTGAAGTGAAATACTGAAACACACATTAAAGAAATTTTGTCGAGGAGTCTAGTGGTCCATGAATTCAATGGAGACCAGACCAGAGGCGGGGAGGCCACCACCCCCGTCGCTCTCGCGGAGGCCCAGAGCAGGATGGAGGTGACCAAGGGACACGGGCAGGGAGAGGTGATCTGTTCACTACCGCCGACGGAAGACTGCGGTCAACCCTACATGAAACCTGTGTTTTGAAAGATAGGGCCGAAATAAAAACTACCTGGCTTCTATTCCATTAGAGTTCTTTGTCAAAGGAAACTGAATCATTTGCTATTTGAAGGAAGGAAAGGCCACACACTTATCTGCCAGAGCTATTTTGCTTATAGAAGATCTCACATCATCCCAGCCGTGGGGGAGGTGAGCTTCTAGCTGATTGCCCAGCCTACTATTATTTTCTTTGAGTCATTGACCACTCCACCTATTTCCTTTCCACTTTTTTTGTGTGTTCGCATCTTTGGGTTTTGGTGTTTTTTTTGGTTTGTTTATTTTGGGTGTTTTTTTGTGTAGTATCCCAGGACAGTGGTCGCCCAAAGTCCTCCCTGGCACCTTGGTAAAATCTACTCCTGGGACTAAACTAAACATGGGAAAAGACTTCTAATCAAAAGTGTTCATCACAGCGTTGTTTGTAAGAGTTGAACACTGAACATTATCCAATGTCTATTAACAGGGGGATGTATATGCAGAACCAAGGGAACTTGCTCAGAGGAAGAGCGTGCAGTCGCGCTGAAGGCCGTGGAACTGGGAAAACGAGCTCCCTCCTCCCTCCCCACACAAGGAGGGAAAAGGCCCCTTTCTAAGAATTCAAGTGGGAATTTCAGTGCATCTCTTTGGCACAGACGGAGAAGTGCCGAGCGGAGGGACGCCCCAGCAGTGGGCCCTGTTCTTGGGCTCAGCCCCTATGAGCCGGGAGGGGCCGGAATGTGAGGGTCGGAGGGAGGGAGTTAAGTGCTGCTTTGCAGAATCATGTGACTACCTGGGCTTGGGTGACGGGGTCTTGAAAACACAGCAGTGAAGAAATTCCTTTATTTGCTTGTTTGTTTGTTTAGAGGCTCAGATGGTATTGTTTCTGCAAATCATGGTCACCCTTGTGAGATGGGGGGGAGGTTGTCCAACAGGCCCCTGGTGGTAGTTTTGAGGACTTACAAACACACAGGTTGCATCAGTGGGAACCCTTGTGATGAGACCCGGTTTCCAGGTCCCACCCCCCCCCCAACTGAGCTGTGGGGCAGTTTCAGAGCCATCCTGTCCCTGACACCCTGGAACGGGGGTGCCAGCAGCCACGGGGGGAGCACCTTCAGAAGTTCCCAGAGCCACCCCAGCCAAATGACTGCGGGAAGAATCTGACTGCTCAGGGTGGGGCCTGAGGTGGGGCGGGGTGTGGCACTCCAGTCAGGGTGGGATTTCCCAGAAGATGGCTCTGTTTTGTAGAATTCTTTTGTTTGTGGGCCACTGAATCTTAACCTAAACTGGCTTAAGGCAAAAGGGTGTTTTTCTGGCTCCCGCGATAGGGAAGGACAGGGCTGCAGCTCGTCTGTAGTTTAACGGGCTCAGGGGTCAAAAGGTGCCTTCGGGTCCCTTTCTCTCCTATCTCTCCCTGTCTGTGTGGTGGTCTCACCCCCTCCTCCGTCGGACAGGTGGGAGGCACGGCCAGGTGCCTTCAGAGGTTCTCCGGTGAGTCTAGACAAACTTAGAGGATCCTGAGGAGAGAGGGGTTACTTTCTTTTGTTACCATGTGCATATAAATCCCTGGGGGGACTAAGACCGGCCCTCCTTTGGTCACACAGCCAGCTTTTGGACCAACCACTGCAGCTGAGAGGATTGGCCCAACCTCGGTTACATGCCCCTCTCTGCGGCCGGGCAGGGTGGCTGGCTGCCGTCAGCGGCCCGCCAGAATCACATGTTTGGGGTGGGGGCGAGCTGTTCCCCAAAGGAAGGAAGAAAATGACCACGAGAAGGAGGTGTTCACCCCTCTCTGGTTGTGGGGAGTCATATTAACGTACAGCTTTGTTTCCACTCAGGCCCACCCCTAACCCAAAAGACACCTTGTGCAAATTAGAAAAGTGAGTCCCTTCTTCCAGACGTTTCCATACCATCTGCTAGAAAGTTATCCTGTCAAATACACTAATCTGCTGTGACGACGCGTGTGCCTGGCGCCCAGAAGAGGGCAGTGTGCAACCCGTGTGCCTGCCTGCAGCAGACCTGCCCCCTCCTGGCTGTGATTCCCTTAGTGACTTGATACTCCAGTCCCTCCCTGAAGCAAGTCTTACCTTACAGAGCTTTGGGCAGTGGCGAGGCAGACGCCGAAGGGGCAGAGCCATCGGTGGGAAAGCCGCTCCTCCCACCGCCTCTCCTCCAGTGCCAGAGGGAGCAGAATGCTATCCGTGCGACTGCGACCTGGCGTTCCAAAGAGTGGCCTTCAGCAAAGCAAACTGGAGCCACAGCAGGGCCAGAAGAGATGACAGGGGCCACGAGGAACAGCTCTGGGGAGACAGCTTGGGAAGGATGTGAGGCCAAATGTTTGTGTCTCCTCTGAATGCTAGAAGGAGCAGACACTTGCAGAAAAGAGGCAGGGGCGGACAGACACTGGATTCCATTAGCAACAGAGCTACATGGGAAGTGTCAGGTCGGTGAGCAAAGCAGGATAAAGAATGGCATGGAGAACACCAAGCTCACACCTGGGCCTGGAAGATACACCTCTGAGTGCGTGAGATGAGGCTCAAACCACAGCCAGGCCTGGCCCCCAGGGAGGGCCACCACGCCGAGGCTGCATCCCCAGAGAGTCGCTGGGAGGAGAGGTGCTGCTGGGCCCACCCCCACGGGGAGTCACCCCTCCCCAGGCCTCCCTGTACCTCTCTCAAAGTCCACTCTGTCCTGGGCTCAGCTCAACCAGGGCTCTGGCCACCAGAAAACACAGACTCAGGGATGAGCATGGGAGACGGGGAAGTAATGGCAGCGAGATTTGGAGGACGGGATTCTGGGTTCACCCAGGGCTTCTCCTGTCCGCCTGGGGCAGGTGCTGGTGGGCAAGCTGTGAGATGGGGCATTTCACAGCTGCTCCACTAGGGGTCACCACAGCCCCCGAGTGGAGGGAGGTGGGGGAACCAACCTCATCCCTCCCTTACCGCAGCCCCTCCCCAAGCTCTGGGGGACGGATGTCTAGCCAGTGGGGTGGGGGGTATGGTGGTGGTGGAGAAATGACCCTCGAGACTGGTGTGTATGTGTGCCTGGGTGTGTGATGTGTAGGTGTGCGTGTACAGATAGGCATATGCTTGATAAAAATCTGGTGACCACAGGTACCTGTAGGTGGCCCTTGTACCTGTGGACAGGAGTGTGTATGGGGGCAGACAGCTGCATGGGCATAGGTAGCGGGCATGGATATGCATGAATGCATGAGCTCTACTGCAAGTGTGTGCATGTGCACACAGATGTTCACTCGATAAAGTCTCGTGTCCGTGACATGTGGCATTTGTGTTCATCTGACAGGAGAGTGCATAGGGTCACATAATGTAAAAACACACATGTATGCACAAGCCGGACGTGAGTGTGAAGTGTGTCTGTAGGTGTGAGTAGTACACGTGAGTGGGTGTAACATGCAGCACAGGAACTGTGTGAATGCACGAATGACTTACACGTATGGCTGAGCATGTGTGAGTGAGCATTGGGGGTGTGTACACAAGCGTGTGTCAGAGAGTGTGTGTGCGCCATGAGTGTTTCTGGACATGAGTGTGAAAGGCAGCTCACATATGAGAATGAGCTTCTGTATGTTCATCACAGGAAGGAGAGCAGGCGTGTATGGGCTCCTACGTGTGCCCCAGTGAGTGTGCGTGTGCACATGGGGGTAGGCGAGTGTGTCACGCTGTTGCTCCGCAGTCAGTGGGCCACCAGCCCGGGCGGGCCCTGCCTGAGCCTGAGCACAGCCGATGAGGGCAGTTCGGCTGAGGCTCCCACCTGAAGACTGGCCCAGTCCTCAGGTTTCACTCATGACCCTGTGACATCAGCGGCAGCAGCTGTCCCCGCCGGCCCGGCCCCCTGGCCAAGTCCCCCAGAGTCGAGCCTCAGCCCGAGGTGGGCATGACAGCAAGCACTCTGCTCCCATCCAACAGTGAGTACTGCGCCCCTCTGCCCCCCTCCGGGGCTGGGCACCCCAAGGGCGGCCACCCCGAGGGGCAGGGCACCCTGGACCCAAGCCCAGCCTGGCTCTGAGGAAGTCACCACTCTGTTCTGGGCACCACCGTCCTGCCCACACCGGGCCCTGCTCCTCGGCTGCCCTGCCGATGGAACGAAGCTCCCGGTGCCTTGACCCTCGGCCCCCAAACCTGCCTGTCTCTGCCCTGTCATCTGCTCTCTGTGCCCCTGCTTGGTTGGCTGTCCTGCTCTCAGCAGGGGTCCTCACCCTGGTCACAAATGGCCCAGTGGCTAAGGCTCGGCTCCCGGACAGGCGTGGGGTGACCCAAGGGACAGAGACTGGGCTGCGTTTCTTCAGGAGAGGAGAGCGGAGGAGCTAAAGTAATGTCCGCGCTCAGCCTGTTTGCAGCGTGAAGGCAGGGGTGTGGGGGGAGGAGAGCGGCAGGAGGCCGCTGGGGGGTGGCTGGCGGCTCCTTTGCTCTGCTGAAACAGGAATCTGTGAGATGCCAGCAGAGGACACTTCTCAGGCTGCGCCGCCCGCCAGGCTCAGCCTGCCACCCTGCCTCTCCACCCGCTCCGAGCACAGTTGGGCTCCTTTCCTGGAGAAGTCAAAGCCAGGAAGGGGTGGGGGCCGAAGGAGGGGCCGGAAAGCTGGCGGAGAGGGGAAAAAGATGAGGCGGGCCTGAGGGGACTCTGGGGGACTCAGGAGGAGACTCAGGGCCAGGGTGGGGGCAGAAGCCCAGAGTGGGGGTGCTCTGCGAGGGCACAGCGCAGCCCCTTCCCCCCTCCCTGCCGGCAGAGCTGGGCGCCCAGGACACTGGGAGGGTGGGCAGTGGCTAGAGACAGGACGGCTGGTCTGAGCAGAGCCCATGTCGGCACGGCCATTGGAGGCATGTGGAACTGAGGGGCAGTGGCGTGTGAGGGCTGTTGCTTACCAGATGGGGGGCATTTGTTGAAAAGATGGGGCAGTCCTGTCTCGAGGACCCTGAGGGTGGGTGGAGGCTGCTTGGGGCTTTCCAAGAATGCACTGGCATGGCGGGGAGGCCTGCGCCCCTTCCCAGCCCCCTGGGTTAAGCACTGTCTGCTGCCCTTCCCCCCGTGCTGGGGACATGGGGTCAGGGCAGGGGGCCAGGTCAAAATGAGAGCTCACAGAGTCCCACTATGGGGAGGTGGCCCTCCAGGTGGGGACTGGACATAACCCCCTCCCATCCATACCACCTGCAGCAGGAACTTGCACAGAATAAATCCCCCCAGGGCCTGGGAAGGTTAGAGCCCACAGGAGCCTTGAAGCCATTTAATTCAGCCCCTAAGAACGGACCAGCTTGGAAGAGGAGCTACAGACAAGCTCCTGGGCCAGGTCCGGCTGGTCTGGAGAGAAGGGGCTGACAGGTGGGTGGAGCCAGGGGTGGGCATTGTTGTCTCTCCTCTGTGACCAAGTCTGTGACCGCCCCCGGGGGGCACTGGACTCAGCTAAGGAGGGCCTGAGAGTGCAGGGTTGGGGTTGGAGGCAGAGGGGCCTGGTTCTCCCAGGACCCTCCCTGTTCTCCTGGCCTCACTCTGTGTGGTGGTGGTGTGGACAGCTGTGGTCATTGCACTACTACTAGAAGCCACATCACCTGTGGGTGACCACACAGGGGCCCAGACATAACCCAAGGCTCCACCCACCTCTTCATCCCAGGCATCCGTCAAGAGTGTCTGGAACTTCAGCAGGGTTTGAAGAAGCGAATTAAGGGTCCTTCCCAGCCCCGCCCTACTTGTCGTTTCTGGTTGAGAACCTGCAGGGGGCAGGGGGTCAGGGCTCTCCCAACTCTGGGCTGGCCCGAGTGCCAGGGCTGCCTCACATCTCTCGTTGCCTTGCCGGGGTTTCTGTGCCCCAACCCCAGGCCCAGGCCCCGGCCCCGGGGAAGCCCTGAGCAGGACGCTGAAGGCAGAGCCCTGCACCAGAGCTGGGGGTGGTCCTGACAAGGTCCCGGCCTTTGGGGGCAACTCTGGCCCCCAGAACAAAGTGTGGAGAATGACAGAGAGGTGGGGGGGTCTCCGAGGGGGCAGGTGTGGCCAGAGAGGATGGGGAAGAATCTCTCCAGGTGACAGGAGGGAGCTGCATTGAAGAGAAATTAAAAATCTGAGACTGGGGTCCTCAGAGAGGGGGTCGGGAGACAGGAGGGGCGGGGGAGGGCAGATGTCGGCGCCCGCGGCACAAGCCGTACAGACTTTCAGTCTCCTGACTCCTCCTCCCAGGAGGCTCAGGCCGGAGGGTCCTGTCACTTCCCCGAGGTGCATGCTAGCGAGGGGCAGGGCCCTGTCCGCAGCGGCCAAGGCCACAGCTCCCTAGGGAGGAGCTCACCCTTGTACTGGCTGGGTGGGGGCAGAGCTCGTTACTGAGACGGGGGGGGGTCAGGAGCAGGTTCTCATGGGTAGTCCTAGAGTTGTGTGTCCCCAGCTTTGCGGTGGTGGCGGGGACAGGCCGGGGCTCCATCAGGAGGTGCCGATGGGCTGGGGCCGGGGAATCCCAGGTTGCCTCCACCTCCAGTGCCGCTGCCCCAGGCCTTTCATGTGCTCTGGCCCGCAGTCTGCCTCCTCAGCAACAGCTATTTTTATTCCCTGCGGTTTTCGGTCAACAGCCCTCCTGGAGGGGGGTGGGGGGATGGGTCGGCAGGAAGAGCAGAAGGGGCTCCGGGAACCCAGGGCTCTGCCAAGGGCAGGGCAGGCTGCCCCTCTCCTCGCAGGACCCCCAGCAGAGACAAAAGTGCAGTAGTCCCCGGCCCCACTCTGCTTTTGACCGGTTTGTGAGGCCCCACCAGACAGGCCCTGGAGGGCCTGTGGGCGACAGAGCTTGGTGGTTAAGAGCCAAGAACTCTCGAGAGAGTGGAGAGTTGGGCTTCCAGCCCTAGTTTATTTACTATGCAGATAACCCGTGGGGGCATTTACTTACCTGCTCTGCGCCTCAGTTTCCTCATCTGTGGAATGGAGTGATAACAGTAGGTGAGAATTAAGTGAGCTCAGGACACGTGAGGTGCCCAGAACAGGATGTGGCGAGTGGCCCGCCCCAAGGAAGTGTTAACCTGTAGATAACCCTTGCAGCGGCGCTCACCAGGCTGCGATTCGGCCAGGCGTGCCTCACAGTCGTGGGGGTGACAGATCGGGAAGGAGCTGCAAGGAGATGGGGCTCCCCAGCAGAAAGCAGGGCGACCTGACCCCTGCAGAAGTGGGAGGGTGTGTTCTTCAGGTGAGGGAGGTCCCTCTGTGAAGGGACTGTGGAGCTTCTTCCCCTGGGCGGGGGGCGGAGTTTGCTGGGATGGCAGGGCACAGACTCTCGGGCTCAGGCTTTAGTAAGGCCCGCCAGTGGCCCTCGTCTTTTCTGAGGCTTGTAAGTTCTCTGTCGGCCTAATTTTTGGAGAAGGATCTTCTACCAGGACAGCTGGTGAGAAAACATCCCTGGAGCAGTTTCTGGGCTTGAGCAAATTTCTCTGAGCATGCGGCTGGGTGGAGGTCATAGGCCCGGTGCCTCAGGCAGCAAGAGGGTCGGTCACTCCTCCTGGTGCTGGTGCCCATGACCCCTACCCTTAGGGCTTGCTCGGACCTGGGGCTTGAGCTCAAAGCCCCCCTTACCCCCATGGTTAAGGGTTGATGGAGGAACTAGGGAGACAGGCCGGCCCTGGAATTCTCCAGGATCAGGATCAGTTCTGCAGAATCTTCTTCTTGGCCTCTTGGTGGACTCAGGGCAGGAAAAAGGCCTGTTGGCTGTGGTGTGGGAGGGGTGAGGGTGCGGGGCAGAGAGAGAAGAGAGCAGAGCAGAGGTCCGAGTCTGGGGGTGACATAGGTAGGAGCAGGTGTGGGCGGCCAGGGGTGGAGGGAGGCCACCCTGTGTGCAAGGTGTGATCTGCCCCAGGGCCGTGACGTGGCCCTAGATGTGTGTGTAGGAGAAGGTGTGCACGCACAGGTCTGAGGGGGCATCCAGGGACCCTGGGTCACCATGCGTGGTGGCCCATAGAAAGTGCTGAACCAACAGAGGCTAGGGAACCCCAGGCCTAAACCAACCGGCCTGCTACCCTTTGGAGCCACTGGAACATGACTCACAGAAGCAAGGAGTGTGCGTGCGTGCGCACCAGTGGGCTGCAGAGGGAGTTGAAAGTATATGGGGGTTGATTAGTGAAAATAAAAACCAAGCCTTCAGGAAGACTCTTTATCAAAGTGTGGACCTGTAGGCCCCACCACCCGCAGCTCTCAACACGAGGTCCCCGGGGCCTGAGCCTGGTCCTGCCAGGGCCTGCCAGACGCCTGCCCCAACCCACGCCTTTCCGGGGCTTGGCCCAAGGGCTCTAGTCTGTCCTTTGCAGAGAACAGACAGAGGAGGGTCAGACCGCCCTAGGGGGCACCCTGGACGGGACCTCAACCTGGGTGTGCCCTGTGCTGGGGAGGGCAGCTGTGCCCAGCCCAGTTCTCCAAAGGGCTGGAGGGAGGCGGTGTTGGCAGTAGTAGGCAGGTGGGTTTGGCATCAAGGAGCTGCATTCGAATCCTTCCTCTGCCACTTGTTAGCTGGGGTGATGAATCTGAAGCACTTGGAACAGCGCCTGGCACACAGTGAGCACCAGATGAACGTATTCATGACCGCTGTTCATCAAGAAATATTTCTTAGGCCTCCAGTTCATGGGCCTGTGCTCGTCGGCACAGCAGTGCTGAGATTTGGGAGCTGGAGGAACCAACCCCTCCACCCTAAGTAGACTCTTTATCAAGCTGAGTGAGGCTTGGAATTCTGTATTTTGAGGTGAGATAAAGTCCTCTGATTTAAGGTTCAGTCTTGGAAGGAGAAGCTCACTCTCGGGCCTTTGCTTCTGTGGAGAAAAGACTTCCAGGCCCCACGGATGAGCTGAGAGGGGTTAGCCGGAAGTGGGCACAGCTCACAAAACTCAAACATAGCCCATGTGTGGGTTTTTATTTCACCGAGCCCCTAGCCAACCAGAAGAACTCTGGATGGAG